GAAAAACATTGAAAACGTTCTTGCTCTTGCTAAATGCTTTCAATTAAAGATCACATGAGCACATTATGCCACCTAAATCAGACAGTGAATGGGCATGAGTAAGAAATGTAGTCCTTGCTTGTGTGAATTGTTTGATATTATGTATGAATTATGGTTTATTCAAACTGTGGAAAGTGGTACATTTCATCAGAAAATACAATATGTGCAACATTTGTCAGCCAGATGTTTTTGACAGCTTGGGAAATACTTTCGCCTGAATTCGAACCATTCAACTATTTTTCATGTCTCTTGTGTCGTGAAACTGTTATTGTGCTTCCTCTTTTCATGATTTGAAAATGAAGAATGCTGTTTTAATCTTAGGCCAAATCATACTTTTATGTAATTTGTTTTGTTGCTCATTTACAAACATATCTTGCCAGTGGATACACATGAATATTAGAAAAGTCATTATTACAGGCGCCTGCTAGTTGTTAATGGATAAATGTGGAGACAGAAGTGGAGAGGTTTTAAATGTTCATGTGAGGGGAAACAGCAGGGGTGGTAGTCTAATCAAATGGCTGCTACAGTAGATACATAGTTTGAGGCTCCTGACCTATTTATGATGTAATGGCTAGTTTACATTGCAGTCTTAAGCTCACAGCAGATTTCTTGAATTAAATGCTCTCAATGAATTCCCAATTAAGTCAATGCAGTCTATAAATGTGAGTAGATTGATATTAATCTTTACATGTACATTGCATACTGTGAAGCACACTGGTGAAGTCAGTTTTTAGTAATGTTAGCTTCAATTAAAGAGATCTCTGACACTGCCCCACGCGGACAATAATATCATAATTATCATATTAATATCATGACCTTAACCTCAACCTTAACCTTAACAGTAACCACTCTTCCTTATTTTCTAAGCATTTTAGAAAATAGGGATCTACAGCCTCTATCCTGAATCTATGGATATTTTGTTGACAGGAGACCATTACTCACTCAAAATACAAGGGAAAACACAATGGGAAATCATGCTTAACATAAAACTTGGATTTTTCACAAGGCAAGGCAAGGCAAGGCAAGTTTATTTATATAGCACAATTCATACACAAGGCAATTCAAAGTGCTGAACAAAACAAGAAAGCATTAAAATCATAAATTATCACAGAACATTAAAAAGAAAGATGAAAATATAAAATCCCTCAGTTGTATGCACAGTTAAACAGAACTGTCTTTAACCTGGTTTTAAACATTGTCAGAGAGGAGGCCTGTCTCACATCTTCAGGAAGACTGTTCCAGATTTTAGCAGCATGAATCTGAAAAGCAGCCTCCCCATGTTTAGTTCTGACTCTGGGCACTAACAGGAGTCCAGTCCCTGTGCTCCTCAGAGTCCGGGCTGGTTCATATGGGACTAACATGTCACTAATATATTTTGGTGCGAGGCTATGGAGAGACTTGTACACAAGCAGAGCTGTTTTAAAGTCTATTCTCTGAGCCACAGGAAGCCAGTGCAGAGACCTGAGAACTGGACTAATGTGGTCGTACTTCCTGGTTCTAGTCAGGACTCGAGCTGCTGCATTTTGAATGTACTGCAGCTGTTTTACAGCCTGTTTGGACAGACCTGTGAGCAGGCCATTGCAGTAGTCTAACCTACTGGAGACAAATGCATGGATAAGAATCTCCAGGTCTGCTTTAGACCCTATGTTTTTGATCCTGGCAATGTTTTTTAGATGGTAAAAAGCTGCTGATGTTACTGATTTGATGTGGCTATTAAAATTTAAGTCTGAGTCCAGTATTACCCCTAGATTTCTGACCTTGTTTGAAGGTTTTAGGGAGAGAGACTGTAGGTGACAGATGACGCTCTCTCTTTGTTTCTGGGGACCAAAGACAATCATTTCAGTTTTGTCTGCGTTTAGCTGAAGGAAGTTGTTTTGCATCCACTCACTGATCTGTTGGATACAGTGAAGGAGTGAGTCCACTGGTCCATGTTCTCCTGCAGTCAGTGAGACATAGATCTGAGTGTCGTCTGCATAGTTATGATAGGAAACTTTGTTTCTGCGTATTAACTGACCTAACGGCAGCATGTAGAGATTGAACAGAAGAGGTCCCAGGATCGACCCCTGTGGGACTCCACAGGTCAGGGCCATATGATCTGAGACACAGTTTTCCAATCTCCACAAAGTACTTCCTGTCTTCAAGGTAAGACCTAAACCAACTTAGGGCGGTGCCAGTGACGCCAACCCAGTCCTCTAGTCTCTGTAAGAGGATCTCATGGTCGACGGTGTCAAAGGCAGCACTTAGATCTAACAAGATTAAGATTGAGACTTTGCCTGCGTCAGTGTTCAGCCGGATATCGTTTGTAACCTTAACGAGAGCAGTCTCAGTGCTGTGGTGGGGTCTAAAGCCGGACTGAAACATATCAAATGAGTTGTTGATTATAAGAAATCTAGTAAGCTGTAGGTAGACAACTTTCTCAAGGACTTTCCCCATAAATGGCAGATTTGAGATGGGACGATAGTTGTTAAGTACCGTAGCATCGAGACTGCTCTTTTTTAGCAGGGGCCTGATGACTGCAGTTTTCAGGGCCTTTGGGAATATTCCAGAATGAAGGGACATGTTTACTATCTGTGTGAGTGAAGGTAACAGACTGCTCAGAACAGACTTCAGAAATCTAGTGGGTAGTACATCCAAGCTGCATGTGGAGGAGCTCAAACTGGAGATTATCTCTTGGACAGTTTTATCATTTACAGGTGCAAAGTGAGTTAGCTCAGAAAGCCTTTCTGGCTGTTGGATGGTTATCTGTGGATTGGAGACAATGGCGTTTTTGATGCCTTGAACCTTGTCATTGAAAAAATTAGCAAACTCATTGCATTTACGTTTGGAAGTAAGCTCTAATGGCATTTGAACAGGGGGGTTTGTTAATCTATTAACTGTTGAGAACAGAACACGCAGATTGTTGCTGCAGCCTTCAATCATTTCAGAAAAATACCTTTCTCTCGTACTACGTAGCACCCGGTTAAACTCGCACAACTTATCTTTGAAGATCTCGTAATCTACCTGGAGGTTGGACTTGCGCCACTTCCGCTCGGCCCTCCGGCACTTTCTCTTTTGTGCCCTGACCGAGTCTGCTTTAGCCCACGGCGCCTTCTGCTTATTTTTCACTATTTTAACCTTCACAGGGGCAACGGTATCCAGAACATTCAAAACACTAGAGGTGACAGAGTTAAACACTTCATCTACAGTAGAATACGATGCATTCTCAAAGTTTATCATTTCCATAAATAGTTCACTCGTATTTTCATTTATGCGCCTTCTTCGAACAGTTGCAGAGTCCACTGGTGGTTTGTTAGTGAAACACATGTCAAAAAAAACACAGAAATGATCCGAAAGAGCAACATCGACCACGTTTACATTTGAAATAATCACCCCCTTTGTAACTAACAGATCTAGAGTGTGCCCTCTGCTGTGGGTGGGGCCACTTACGTGCTGAGTGAGATCAAAGGATTCAAGTACAGAACTCAGCTCATTTGCATTTCTGTCATCAACATTATCCACATGAATATTAAAATCACCTGTAATAACCAAACTATCAAAATCTGTGCATACAACTGAAAGCAACTCGGTAAAATTATCAATAAAACTGTGACATGACTGCGGTGGCTTGTATAGGACAACGAAGAGTATTGGAGGAGATTGTTTTTGTTGTATTTTAAAAGACACATATTCAAATGACGAAAACTTCCCAAGAGACATTCTATGGGAGACAAAGTGGTCTCTAAAAATGGCAGCTAAGCCTCCTCCTTTTTGGTTTTCCCGTATTTCAGATTCAAACTTGAAATTTGGTGGTGATGCTTCTATTAAAACTGCATTTTCTGAATTTTGGTCAAGCCAAGTTTCAGCCATGAACATAAGATCAAGATTATGAGAACAAATAAAATTATTGATTAAAAAAGACTTGTTACAAAGAGATCTGACATTAAGCGTAGCAAGTTTCAAAGTTTCAGTATCAGCGGTTGCGGTCGGCTGATTTTATACGGAACAAGAATTAGATTTTCCAGATTAGACTGATTAACTCCAGATGTTTTTCTGTAATGTATTCTTTGTGTTATCACTAAGGGAATGGCACAGGTGGCTTCATGACAGGGCCCCAGCCGGGTCTCTCCTCTAACTAGACTGCCAGTGGCTGCGAAGCAGAGACCCTGTGCATCCTAGTGTTTAGAGAAAAGAGGGGAAGGGGAAGGCAGGGGAGGAGGATGGAGAGGTGGGTGGCTTTTGGGTGTTGAACGAGGGGGGCAGGGAGGTGGAGGGGTTTTAGGTGATGGGTTAGGGCCGGGGTGGGCTGAGGCAGAGGTTTTGGATGTTGAACGAGGGGGAAGTGGGGGTGGAATGATCATGAGGTTAGGGGAGGGACTGGCTGAGGTGGTTTTTGTAGGTGAATTGGAAACCCTAGGTGGTTTTGGAGGTACATATGGGGAGTGGTTTAGCATGTTGGACAGGACTCTAGATTGAGCTAATATGGGTGTGAGAGGAATAGTCTTCATCGCCGATTTTATTAGCCCTGCAGAGTGTTCAGGTAGGTCTAACAGTGAAGGCGGGGATGAAAAACAAAGGGAGGTGTCCCCATTCTCTCTTGATGGAGTGGACGTGGCAGGGGGGACCCAAGACAGGTCCATGGGAGGTGGCGAGGGAGTCTTTGATGGAGGGGCAGGTGGTTGAGGAAACCCCAGCACAGGCCTGTCTGCTGTAGGCTGGGGTGAGGATGGGGGCTTCAGAGGCGCTGTAGATGAAGAAGGCGTGGCTGCTTTGGAGCAGGCTGGGGATGAGGATGTTGGTGGTGGTGGTCGTGCTGCTGGTGCTGCTACTGGTGATGATGCAGCTGCTGCTGGTGATGATGCAGCTGCTTCTGATGACAGTGGAGGTGTTGAGATCCTTCGAGGTGGTGGTGGTGTTGAGATCCTTTGAGGCGGTGATGGTGATGAGATCCAACATGCCCGTTTATAACTGTGTTGCCATTGCAGGCCCCCCTGGCCCCCCTGTGGACTGTCAGGTGACTGGCGTGACTGAGACCACTGCCTCCGTGTCCTGGCGTCCCGGTCTGGACAACCACAGCCCCATCCTAAGCTACGCCATCCAGGCCCGCTCCCCCTTCTCCCTGGGCTGGCAGGCAGTGACCACTGGTAAGCCTGACATACCAGTGTGTGATGGGTCAGAAACACAGACCGTTTACAGCTAATACCTGCTGAATAAGGGAGATTGTAAATTTAGAAGTTTGAAACTGAAAAAATTGCAGTTAAATCCTTTCTAGTTAAAAAGTTCGGAATGCAACACAATAAATCTACGATTAGCCCCAATAGATATGGTATTAGGGTTGGGCGATATGGGCCTCAGCATGTATCACAATTTTTGTTGGTATGTATCACGATATGACGATATGATAATTTCAACAAAGCCTCATATAAAAGCTATAAAAACTTAGCACTGATCATTTTAAACACACTTGCCTCAAAGTGCATTTACTGATTTATTGGCAGCAAAATGTGCAATACAGCTATTGTATATAAAACGTATTAACAAAACTGAATTGTAGAGAATTCTATGAGAGAGAGAGAGAGTGTCTGAAGCAAGCCACTCGTGTCCAGTTGTTTAGGGCAGCTGCTTTCACAACATTAGATCCACTGTCGATAGTTACGCACAATTGCTTCTTTTTATCTAGTTCCCAAACTACTCCCATATTTTTGAGGTAGCTCCGCGTTTTGGCACAATGTCTTCTACAATCTGCATGTCTTCACCATGGTCTTCACCGCCGCCCTCAGCCATGTTTGCTCTCTGCTCTGTTGTTTTTGTCCCTGCACGCCGCTCTGCTACACGTGTCGCGCAGATGCGTCATCGAAGTGCGCCGCACACAATCGTGTCTTCCGCTTGCCGTTTTCAGTGTTAAATGATTGTTTTCACCGGTATAAGGCATTTTCTTATAATTTAATTTACTTATACCGGTATACCGGTACAAAAAAAATATCGCCCAACCCTATATGGTATATGCTATAAGATCATAGAGGAAAATTGATACAAGAATAATCAATATTATAACCCAATTCTGTTGTAATTTAGACAATAGAATGTTTAGACTAGAACTGTCATTCAGTGTTATTTTGTAAATGAGTCCATATGAGCAGTTTATTGAATGAAATAATTGTCTGTACTATATTTTGATCATTATAATTTGGAGTAATAATTGCCCAGCCTTCTAAACAGTGATGACAAATGCAGTGTCTGTGAGCGCGTGTTTCATTGTGATGGCCACAAAAGAAATGAGGAGTTTGGCTGTATTTGGTGGCAGGCTGTGTGGGGGTCTTGATGAAAGTGTGGATGTATCTCAGTTCCAGAGCGGCTGGGGGGGAAGCAGCTGTCAGCCGTGGTGTCGGACTTGAATCCCTGGGTGGAGTACGAGTTCAGAGTACTGGCTACAAACACCATCGGCACGGGAGAGCCCAGCCGAGCATCCAAACGAGCTCGCACCAAAGAGACGCGTACGTTCTGATGCTTTCTGCCAACAGCCAAATCTCACGTTTGAGCGAAAACTGCCTCTGTAGATTTTATGAAGGGAGGGGAAGTATGGAATCTGTTAGAGGTATTTATAGATGTGACACATACAGGGTTCTACAGACATGTAATGAGGTACTAGCATTGGGAGAGAATTGCACGCTTCATTTTCACTGAATAAATTACATTTACAGTAATTAAGCATGCAAGGAATGAATTCACTTTGATTGGTTTTTTTTTCTTTAGTTAAAAACACTATTATTCGGACAAAATTTTCACTTTTTCATTTAAAATGGCATGTTTTAGACTAAAAAAGTGAGCTGTAAACTTAATTTTTTTAACATGTATGACAGAAACGCACAATATTTCATAAACTGTAATGAGTGATCATTAGTGCTGTCAAACGATTAATCGCATTAATGTCAACGTTAACTCATGATTAATGGCGCATCTTTACGTTTTCTAAATGTCCAGACTTAAGGTACCTCAAAAGTGGCCAAAATGACGTGCGCTGACATGTTTGCAGTTCCACCCCGGGCCGATGGGGGTGGACCCGGAATAAGAATTAGCCAATGCTAACATATAGCATTAGCTGACCTCTCGAAAACGTCTTTACAGGATGGACCAAAAGTTGGCTCTTGGCCCAAAGCTCCGTTGTGTGCACATGTGTGTCAATGCTGAGGGGAGTGAATTTTTTGGACCAGTCTAGTTTACTCACTGTGAATTTTTGAAGTCACTCGTTTAAATGAATGGGGCTTGTGCCGGCTGACGCATGCGCTGATGCGGTTTTTCACATTTTCCAGCCCCCGCGGCCATTTTGAATCACTCCATGAAAGCCCAATTTTTGGCCCTTTAGTTACAACGGCGGAGATAGGCGTGACTACGTCCGTTAATATATACAGTCTATGGTTAACCCAGTTATTAACTGGGACCACTGCTTTTTTCAATTTTCATTAATGATATGCAGTACGGCCTTAAAAGGTGCAGCGCAACTCTCTATGCAGATGACGCCACTGTTTACTGTGCAGCATCAAGTATGTCTGAGCTGAGAAATACACTACAGGATGATCTGCAGTTGTTATTGGACTGGATTCACGAAAACAAACTGGTTTTGAATGTGTCTAAAACAAAGAGTATGTTGTTTAGATCTCGACACCAAGATAGTGCCGATCCACTTAACATTGTATTAAAAGACATGCAAATAGAGCAGGTTCAGGAGGTAAAACTCCTTGGAGTTACTTTCGATGAACGTTTATCTTGGGATAAGCACATTAACACTGTTGTGAAAAAAATGGGTAGAAATATGGCATGTATTAGAAGGTGCTGCTCATTCATGACACCGGCTTCTAGAGTTCTGGTGGTTCAGTCATTGGCCTTGTCTCACCTGGACTACTGCTCTGTGGTGTGGTCAGGTGCAGCTAAGAAACACATGACGAAACTGCAGACAGCACAGAACAAGGCTGCCAGGCTGGCTCTGGGCTGCCCACTCGTGTGGGGACAGAGCTCAGCTGAGCATCATGACCGTCTCTCATGGCTCAGAGTAGAAGATAGACTCAAATGTCATTTAATGACTTTCTTCACAAACATATGCTATAGTCAAAAACCTACTCATTTGTACAACCTTTTACATTATGTGAGAGATCTGCACAACTATCCAACTAGGCAAGCGGCTCAGGGTCATTTGACCCGCCCCAAACCCAGAACAGAAGCCGTGCGTAGGTCGGTCATATTTAGAGCTGTGACTTTATGGAACAAACTGCCACCGGCTGTTAAACAGGCTGAAACAAAGCTCTCTTTTAAAAGACTATTGAAAAGACATTTTCTGATGGAAGCTTAAGTCTGTTTGTGTGTGTATGTCTATAACTTCATATACAGTATATTTAAATTCTTTATATGTACAGTATGTGTGCGTATAACTGAGGAGAGGTTTTGTATGTGAAGTGTTTTTTTTTCAATTTAACTGCATGATGTGAATATTGTAATTGCTTGAACCGGACCCCAGGAAGAGTAGCTGTCCATTTGGAGACAGCTAATGGGGATCCAAATAAATAAACAAATAAACAAATAATTAACTGAGAGCACCAGTGAAAACATATCTTAAAAATAAAATACAATGGATCACTCAAACATAACATTTATAACATGTGAGGATTGTCACAGTCAGTTTTTAAGTTGTGAAATGGGACTATTGGATCATTTCAATACAGTGCTTCAATTATTTCTTCCATGAATATACATTTCTCTGATGTTGCCCAGCGCCCAGATTGACCCCGGCCCGTGTCAGCGGAGGTGGAGGAGGCCGCTCCGAGCTCGTCATCACCTGGGAGGTACACTGCACTCTTCTCTCCTCATTGGATATTCAATATTCATGTGGATTTGTCATTATTTTTTCAGTGGCTTTCATTATTCTACAGCTAGTTATGTTAGCTAAGAAACATAGCTACTACTTATTTGTATATATTGTGTGTGCTCCCTTTGTGCTCTTACTACTGTCCTACTGTATATGTGCGCTGCAACATCGAAATTTCCCCACTGTGGGATGAAAAAAGGAATTCTTATCTTATCTTATCTCATCTTATTTCCCATCAGTATGAATTTTAAAACGTCATGTAAAAAAAGATTAGCCCAACAGCAGGATAACTGCGAAAAAGACTGCTTCCTGCTTCCAATATTCAACAAAACATTCATAGATTTTGTTACTTCAGATGAGGAGTCCACAGCCATAGTGTATTACTATAAACTACCATAAACTACTATGAAAGACACTTGTATCATTCTAAGTACAACATTGAGTGAATTAATGATGTTTGACAACGTTTATAAATGTCTATTCTACTCATTTGCATTCTTTACATGTGTCAGTGGTCCTGTGAGTGTATTATTTTCCTGCCGGAGCCTCTCTTGAACCTTGAGTGAGTCATGTTGTGTTTGCAGCCTGTTCCTGAGGAGATGCAGAGTGGGCCAGGGTTCGGGTATGTGGTGGCTTTTCGTCCGCTGGGAGCTCCAGGCTGGATGCAGGCCGCAGTCACCTCCCCAGACGCCTCCAGATATGTGTTCAAGAATGAGAGCATCCCACCATTCTCGCCCTACGAGGTCAAAGTGGGCGTTTACAACAACAAGGGGGAAGGGTCTTTCAGCCCTGTCACCACCATCCACTCTGCCGAGGAAGGTTTGTTTTGTGTGTTAAAAAACTGTAAAATGAATGAGCTTGAATGGATAATAAACCTTCTGCTATTAGCCCTGTGTTGGGCTTTAGAGGTGCAAATTGAATTGTACTGTGTCTGGGAGATTTTTGTACTGAATTCTTAAAAATTACACATGACACCCAAATATGCCTCACATTTTTAATTCACTGTACTGGTAAGAAGAGATAGAAGACACCTACAGAGGAGAAAACCCACTGGTCAAAAGTAGTAAAACAAGAAACAAATGTATTCCTTTTGTAGATTTAAAATTGGACAGTATGTATTAATGAACAGCTACTGCTGGAAATGTGCTGGAAATAGCTCAAGGATAGAACATACATACATTCAACCGCACCGACAGCCACATTAAAAACAGCACTGTCGTTGTGCCAAGTAAACGATTGTTCCCCTGTTTTCAGTAGACTTTTTATCCAGAATAATAATCAGGCTATTTGTTTTTGTTTTTAACCCATAAGCAAATCATTATATTAATTGGTTTGAATCCAATGAATTTAGCTATACATTTTTAAAGTAACCAGTATCCAGACTGCACTTAGTCTGACCAATCACCTGTTTGCTACGGGAGACCATGCCAGGTGCATACTTCCCCGGACAATAAAGCTCTCACGATGGCATTGTTGATTTTACACTGAATATCTGTTTTCTTTTCACCGTAATCAACAAACGTTACAAAAGCTTGTTGCTATAATCCTGCAGTACAAGTCTTTCTCTCATGCAGTCGTTGAGTGAAGGATAAATGTTCCTAAGTTGAGTTGATAGGTTTCTGTATGTGTGTGCTACTGGTGCACAGTGCTTACAGTGGTTTGTGTGCAGAGCCCAGCCGAGCCCCGGGGAGGCTGAGAGCGCACAGTTTATCCGCATCCGAGGTGGAGGTCACCTGGAAGCCCCTGGCCTGGAGCAACCACCGCAGACGCATCCTGGGATACGAGGTTAGACCAGCGCATGCCCACACACTATCACAGTACGGAGTGGTCTCTGCCAAGTGCTCCTGGCTTTTTTGGATTACCAATAGTACAGTACAACTCACTGACCTTTTTTATTTGGCAATTATGTATAATTCATAAACTCATTTAAAGCACAATTTATTGCTTATTATCCAAGTCAGAAAGGCCATTATTATCGCCTATATCCTGGTCTGTAACCTTAGCTGTCTTGTGGTTTGGTGGCTATAGCCCACTATTATTTTGCACTATTTCTGACAGAAAAAACACGTGCTTGCTGATTTGAGCTGGTGTAACGATTTGAGTGGGTGAAATACCACTGTGCCTTTCCTCTTCTTCACACCAAGCAACTCACGTAACGTAATCCAGGTGAAATGGAGGCACGCAGAAAGAGTTACATTTACAAAACAGGCTCATTCAATGCTTTTATGTGTTTCCCACAGAGTAAGCTTTTTTTTCCGTTTGACTCTGCCGCTGTAAAATTGTCAGGATCATTACAATAATAAAAATCAAACAATGTGATCTGTGCGTCTATGGTTACGTGCCAAAGATGCATTGAAGGCGATAGGTGTAAACTGGGGTCCTTCTCTGAATACATGATAAGGCATGCCGCCAAATTCACACTCAGGGGCAGGACATTCAAATGGACGTAGCAGAAACATGTGACTTGTGTGATTCGTAGTTGCGTTACTGGGGGGAGAAGGAGAAGCAGGACACGGCGCGTGTTATGAGGACTGTGGGCAACAGAACCTCCATCATGTTGCGGGACCTCGAGGGCAGCAGCACCTACAGCCTGAGCCTTCGGGCCTACAACAGCGCCGGAGTGGGACCACACAGCAACGTCGTCAACGTCACCACCAAGAAACCACGTGAGCATCACTCCTTTGAGCCCATACTTACATAACAAACATTACATTAGAATTACAGGAGCTATACCCGTTTCTGCAAGGTTCGAATGTTCAGCACCGCCCCCAACTCGCTCACAGGCTTCTTATTTCCCCAACACTCTCATCCCATGGACCCATCTAGTTGTATTTGCGATCTGATGCGTATGCTAACATTACTGTAGCATGAGCGCAACTTCCTGTAAGCTGTACAACAATCACTGATGAAATAGTACAAAAGCAACGCACTGCTAACACAATACATAATAGAAGAATACCGCTAGTTTCGTCCGAATGCAGTAATTTAAACATCAGAATATATTTGAATATTTAATCATAATTTATTATACAGCTCCTCACAGCCGCAGTAGAACACTCCATTGATTTAAATGTAGTTTCAAAACGTTCTACCGATCATTTTTTCTTGATAACAGAACTCTTAAACCAATAATGACCAATGCCCTTTGGCAACGCAATCTCTGCTTGTAATTCTGGTGTGTAAAATAATAACATTACTCCGCAAGTACAACGAGCTTTCAGCGCCTGTCACTACTTCTGTCTGTGCAGAGCAGCTAGCGGAGCTAGCCACGCTCAATAAACAAATACCAATCAATCAATCAACATCTTTAAATGTTAATCGGAGAATACTTTATACATATACATCCTTAACACACGTGCACGGAGGTTTTCATGACGAAAATACTGTTTTGATGTGACAAAAAGCGATCTCGATAAACCCGGAAGTAACCATTAACATGAAACGAACATTTAGGACACATTTGAAGAGGATCTGATGGATTTAGGTTCGGTATATAAATGGGTAACTCACCGCTGATGTTAAGAATTCTTCCTTCAGTTTTCATGTAGTTCCAGAGAGTTTTTGAACTATCTAGCTTAGCTGTTACCTGCCTAGCACGTCACGGTGAAACCTTTGGGAGCTAACTATTTCATTTGCAGTCATTAAATACATTTTGAATATTTAGGGCTGTCTATAATTTGTTCAAACATATATTTTTAATTTTCAAATTATATTTGAATTTTGAAGTCAAAGCCCTATTGTTCAGCAGCGCTGTAGAGGCTGGAGGACGCAGGCTGTTCGCTGCTCGTTCTGTGATTGGAGAAGAACGAGCATCACGCTAAGTCTCTACTCAGCACTTTTTACGGCCTGAATTCACACACAAGCTGAATCAATGAGCTCAAATTTTCAATTAAATTACGGATTATAAAACAACTTGTTTGTAGTAATCGCATTTTTATGAACTCTTTAGAACAGTGGTTCTCAAAGTGGGGTACGCGTACCCCTAAGGAAACCATTGAGATTAACTCATTGTAATTGACATCAATTGACTTCAACATTGTCTTTTCCTGTCCATCTGTGTATATGTCTGGGGTTTCGCTGTAGACAGTATTTTATTAAGCCAGCAGGTGGCAGCTGAGCTCTGTGGGTGTCTTGGTCAAAGATCACTGCCTGAGCACTGTTTTTGATGAATACTTAGGCTTATTACGCTACTGTGTGGTGTTGGTCATTTGCGGTGGTACTTGGAGAGGCAAGTATTTTCTGAGGGGGTACTTGGTGTAAAAAGTTTGAGAACCACTGCATTATAAAATAGATCGGGTATAGCATCTTTAAGGTTTAAGAAGACTAAAAGCACAGGCGTAATGCAATGCAGTCCGTTTGTCAAAAGGTTAAATCTCTGTCAAAATAAACACAAATGTGAGATTGTTCTACTTAATGCAAATAACCCAAAACAAGTGACTGCCTTGTTGTAAATTAACCTCAGGAATACATGATTGTGAGAGATATTCAATTGTTGCATAATGTGCATAACATCTCTGTTTTTCTTTGAGCCAACGTGCAGTTAATTTTAATTTTAATCTGAAAGACGCTTCAAATGGTTTGACACTGTGAGGAGAAAATTGGTGTAAAATACACATTTGCATTAATGTATGTGCATATAATGCATGGCCATACGGCGCTTTTATGGATTATGATAAGGTGATGAGCAGAACAAATAAACAAATGAAACCATGGCCAATAAAAGAGATAAGTCACAGACTAAAAGGGTTTCGATTCGCACTTGAATGATTAAAATATAAAGTAGAAAAACTTCATCCTGGTCCTTTTAACAGATTCAGCCTTTCATGAAACTCAAGCACGTCTTCGATCCTTGTTTATCATAACACATTCTGGTTCTCCTTGAGACTTAACCGACGCTCCGACTTTTTGCTTTTAAAAGATCAACAAAAGCCTTTTAGAACATTTGGAGAAAGGTTTCTTTTCCAATTAGTGGACCTAGCAGCAGAAAGGGACCAATATAACTGTAGACTGTAACTTCATAAATACAATATAAAGGTAACTTTTTTCCCAACATGGTTCTGGTTGGAACAGGATCGAAACGCATTTAACTTTGCATAGCTATAATTATCGTCATATGTTTTTCTTCTTTAAACGAAATAATATCATAATTACTAGTTGTTTTCTCCACTAATTAAACATTGTTGTTTGTTTCAATGACCTTTAGAAATATTATTTTTAACTACATGAGAGTTTATATTAAAAATAATTAGCTAAAAGACAAATTCAGTGGCTCAGTTGTAGAACATTGGTCTTTGGACCTAGTGGTTGTGGGTTTGATCCCACCATGACCCATGTCACTGGCTTCCATGTCTACTATCATTGTGTCCTAGGGCAAGATACCTAACCCCACTTTGCCTGAAGCAGCTCTGATTGCCTCCCCACCCAGAAATGGATAAATAAAGGGAAGAATATTTTTTTTGTCAGGACTAAACAGCTATCTGAGGAGTAATGACCAGAAGATCAACATATGTAGAACATGCGTTTTTCAAACTATAAACTGCTTTGTTAAGTCAGATGTTACGTTTTAATGGAGTTTTGGCCGCACACTAGCTATTTTGCCTCTGTCGTGTCTTCAAACTCTTGATATTTTTTTTATTGCTATGGGATTTTGTATGGAAAATGTTACTTGAGCGGGGCTCCATTGGCTTACTCTACCCTACCTTACCTTACCTTACTGCAAAGATTACTTCAAAGAGGTTAGGGTCAGACATTTATTCAGTAATGAACAATATGGGTCGTTGGGTCATCTTTATTGTCATTTTAAAAGCATTGCTCTAGAAATCCTGCAAATTACAAAGACCTTAAGCATGCTTTGGTCGGCTTTTGATATATTGTCTCGCTCATAAGTCATGCTCCGAGCGTCTAGGCGGGCTGGCTCACCCTTCACTAAATCTTACAGTCCTTAACATTTGCCCACTTTCTACATCATTTGTATGTTAATAGGGGTTAAGTGAATTGTGATCAAATTATGGTTCGCTCTTGTTCACTCCTCCGACTAAATGTACCGGCGACTGTTCTCACTCCCACACGCGCCTTCCCAGAGTCCTCACAGCCAGATGATAAACTGGTAATGAGACTTGGCCTTTATGCTAAGCCTGACTTTAAGAGTTTATTGAACAGCTATAGGGTGTTTTTTTTTTTGTGTTCTTCTATTTCTCTATGTAACTTGCGCCTCTATCCCACCCACAGCCCCCAGCCAGGCCATCTCCAAGATCATGTGGAACACCTCTAACTCCAAGGTCATCCTCAAGTGGGACCAGGTTCATGCACTGGAGAATGAATCAGAAGTAACTGGATACAAGGTTGGTGTGTGTGCTTTATCTGCTGCTCCACTGAGAGCCGTAAACACAGCAGGATGCACAGGTCTACACTGGATGGCCCTAACTGAGAGAGGCTTGTTCAAGGTCTTTGTTTTGATCTGAACGCTGACTGATGAAGTTAAGTTATTGTTACATGCAAAACTAGACTTCTCAAGTAGAAATAGAGATCATGAAATAGCCAGCACTTTCTGGTAAGAGTATTGGTTTATTTAATTTACAGCTTTTGACCTGGATGTACTTGTTTTACCTCATTGTTCACACACTCAATGTTGTTTGTTTGCAAATGATTGTGTTTTAAATTTTGCGATTTGCGAATGACTTTGGATGCATTATGTAGTCATACTGCTAGAAGGGGAGACATCAGCTAATGGATAAATAAGTCTGTGGTCTGAGCAGAACTAGCTGAGCTGTGTGACCATGCTGACATCCTGTATGGGGCAGAGCTCAGAGTGATCTGGTCATAATATATAATAATTCCACAATATTGTCACTTTATAACTTCTGTAGAGCTGGGGTACCTAACTTCTAAACCATAAAAAGACACAAATGTACTGGTATGTAATGCAATCAATCTAACTAGTTCCTCTCTCTCAGTTTGGTCCAATAACTAGTTTTCACATACATGTATTTTTTGCCTAAGGCACATCTTTAAAACAGATTTCTCAGACAAAGTGAAAGGGAGCGAACCCAATCACTCAGCCAATCAGCTCTCAGTTCAAAGTGTCAAATAGTGACTTGGAGAACCCCTTATTACAATCATGTAAAGTAAGGTTTTCAAATACATTTCTTACGGTTTGTTCACAACATTTTACTTTAAAAAATGTGTATGAAACAGCTCTAAACCAGCTTTAAGGGTCACTTACTCACTCAATGGTTGAACTGTTTAACCATCATTTGAGAAGTGAGTCCAAGTTTGGTGAAAGTGAAGTTTTAGTGAGTGAGGGAGGGACTGACTGACTGTCTCTTGCTTCATTGCTCTCCAGACTTCTGAAAGCTATCATTATAAGGATATAAAGGAGAGTTACAAGTCTCTTTTTGGGGCTGCCATGCTGCTGACAGCTGTGTGCAAAAGCAAAGTGTTTTTAGGCTGTCTGCACAACCACCTCTTCCATTATGTTGAGTGGGTGTCACATTGTTTAAAAGTTGGAAGTATTACTGCATTATGTGACGTCACGCTGCAGACAACCTGCAGGGCCCCAGCCCGGGATCTCATTTTCTTGTTTTTCTTTGTGACTCAGTTTGGCAGCGTCTATAGTGTTTTTAAAGTTCAAACAAATCACAATAACTTGTTGGAAGGTGAAAACATGACACCTTTAAAAGTCTCATTATCAGTATTCTTTATTTCTTGTGAATTCATGAGTCCCCTGTGGTCATTAAATTATCAGTTCTAGTCTTTGTTACTAGAGTCTGCAAGTCATATCATCATACCTAAGCGAGGGCTAAGTCTAAAAAAATGTAAAAGGTGTTTTGCAATTTAAGTTTAAATACCTGGATTAAATCTGAAGTACATACAAAATTATCTTGAAAATGTAGTTACGGAATAGATCGAGATAATTTTACGTTTTTTAAAAATAATACTTTATGTTAATTATTAAAAATTGCGATTTGATTTCCTTAAATCTCCTTTTGTAGCAAACCCGGCAGTAGAGAAGTAGCCTCTCCTGAACCCGAAAGCCTTATCTGTCCCACCTACGCCTGGTGATCTATAACAATCATGTCTGCGCGCCACTGAATCCATCCTTGTTAGTGCCCGAGACAGTCCATTACATCTCACAGATCCAGCTGAAGGGAGTATAACTTTGGTTTCCCTGTCGATAAATCAACAAATAAATAGACTCATAGTACATCTGAAAACTCCTCTTGTCTTGTTTGTCCCTGTGTGCTACCTGTAGGTCATGTACAGCCAGGACCAGCACAGCAGCCCCAGTGTGGTGGAGACAAACACCACGTCTCTGGAGCTGTCGCTGCCCGTGAACCAGGACTACGTAATCCAGATTAAGCCTTTCAGTGAAGGAGGGGAGGGCAGCAGCAGCAGGCAGATCACCATACCCAAGGTGGCAGGTACGGAGAACGGTTTTATTCTACCATTTTGGGATCTCTGGAAGGTTTGAATGTTTTGTGATTATAAGAATATAGAATTTTTCAATATAGATGTAATGTTGTTATTGCATTAAATGTAGAGTACTCACTTTGGAATTGTTTCGTAAAAATATGTTTGTTTATGTTTTTGCCAAACTCTCAGCTCCCCCAGGGGAAAACATAATTTGATTGTTTACATATAGAATTAACCAAGGCCGAGATTTGCAACATGCCCAATTACAGGGCACTTTTCATTCAATAGGATTTAATATGATTCAGTTGAACATAAAGGCTTTTCTCCCCTTTAAAATGCTGAACCATTCATCCATCCATCCATTTTCTTCCCCTTAATCCATTTCTGGGTCGGGTGGGGTGGCCAGAGATACCACCCAGTACACAGAGCACCCTCACTGATCCTCCTGCAGGTGGTGAGTCCACAGGAGCTGAGATCTTTCAGTTGGAGCTTCAGGCAAAGTGGGGTTAAGTGTCTTGCCCAAGGACACAACAACAGCAGTCATCAGTGGGAGTCGTAAAGTAGGTCTTACGGTGGGCTCGAACCCACGACCTTCAGGCTCAAAGGCCAATGCTCTACCAACTGATCTACTGCCGTTATATGCTGAACCAGATATACCAATATATATCATTTTTGGTGCATTTAGCTTCTAAAATGATTGTTGATGCAAACGTTATCAGCCTTATGGTGTGGAGTGGACCTATGACTATTATAAAATATTGTCAACTGAAGTTAATTATCTTTTTATATTCCTGGAATATGAAAATATCACAACATTATAAATGAGTATTGTATGTATTTAAAAACTATAAATATGTATTTGAAAAACTTTATTTTGATATATTTCCCAATCATTTCAGGAGTGATTGTGAGCTCCTTTTTTGGATAGACTTTTTTTTGCTTTCTTAATATAAAAGAAAATGTTTCATCAATTCAAACAATTAGGATCATTGAACAATTTGTATTTGAAATTGTTATTTTCGGCAACACAGTTATAGTGGCTGTTTTTGTGAGGCTCAGATCACTTTGTTTTTTTTTCTGAACAAAGGATTTGTCTGGAAATAAGATCAAAGCAAAGACAAAAACTGACCTTCATCTCAACATAATGTTAAAATGAAAAGTGTTCTCAAAAGTCCTTTGAATTTTTCATTAAAAAGATCACAAAGGAATTCCACAAATGGTGTACATTTTATCACAGCCTATTATCAGAAACATTAAATATGTGTTATTGATTATTATGCTTCTATTTCTATCTTTCCACAAGACTGATAGTTCACTTTTTGGGAATTAGTAATACACCGGTCAAGATCATTATAAATGACACACAATTGAAGATGTTAAACAAAATATGTTTTGTAATAGATGAAAAGATTGCTTTGAAACCTTACTCACATTTCCTGAGGACAAAGGTTGCTTGTTTTTTGGAATGATGAAAAGAAATAAATTTACAGAATGCCGATGCTATTATCTTTTTGAAACTTTCATTCATAATCATCGTTATAAAGATCAGGTTTAGATTATTGTGGTGAAGTGTAGGGAAACTTGAACAAATCTCTCTCGATTCATGTTGAAAAAAATGTCCCCCATAGACAGGCTTCAAATCCACTGTTCATAGACATCAAATTAAATTGCAGGAATTTTAAAACTGCTCAAATAATATACAAGGCATCTGTTGACACTCGGCACCTAATGTACAAAACATATTCCAAGATAGAGATTCTCACCATAGCTACCGTTTAAGTTATATTTAAAGTAGAACTATTTTAAAATCTATGTGCGAGGGTTTACTATTTGGAGCAACTTGACAGATGAAGTAAAGAATGTTCAAACTCTACTGAGAAAGAAAGAGCTGAACATTGGAACACGTATGTGGACAGTGTTGGGTAGAATACTATCCGTTACTGAATACTCAATACATGTATTTTGTTTAGTATTCTGCTACTTTGAAAAATATTTAACTGTATTCTGATTACGTTTGTAGGATCATTGCCTTTTATGACTTTACTCATGAATTACAAATAAACCCTTTTAGAAAAAACCTTGTTAATTTACACGCACACATTAGCACGCTCAGTAAAAAGCTACGTGTAGCTAATGCTAGCTTAGTTACTGCTGCTGGGGCTAATCTATGAAGGTCCACAAGATGAATGCATTGGCGACTTGCGTTGTTTCCGAGTCCTGTGCAAAGATGATAGGCCATGTTTTTAAACCACAGTCTCTCATGCGCTCGCTGCTGTTCACCTGGACTTGTTGGATGTGTAATGTGTGGACACAACATTTTCTTTGTTTTTTTTACCTTAGAGACATAATATGAGAAAGTTTGTATTCCCATGATTTTCAGAAAATAACTGTCTTCAAAATACTTTTTCTCAAAAACAGTATTCTTAATACGTAACAGTGTTTCATGTATTCCGTTATCCCCCAGCTCTGTGTGTAGAGGTGTGATGACTTCAACACAGAGTGGTGATGTATGGTCAGAGAGTGTTTGGGCCTGTGTCTTGTTTAGTGTGCTGGCTTGTGTTTTACGAGAGAGAGGGGCTTAGAGCCTTTTTCTGGTTGTATTTTAGTTATTTTGTATCTTGTTTATAGTTTCATTTTATATATGTTTGAAATGAAATCATGACTAACTAACAATAGTAATCTATCTAATCCAATCTATATATTGACAACAGACATGTCTCGGGGCCCCACAGTTGAACTCTCCAGGGCAGGGAGGGTCATTGAAGCCCAGTCGAACGCTAATGCACTATTCATAACATGTGGGGTCCAATCACCAGTTCATCCAGAGTTCAATGGCTGTTACAACGACTATTTTACTATTAATGTGAATAGCACTCAAGTTATTTTTACTCAAGTCACTCTTCAGACCGCCGCTGAAGGTTATTCTCTGGGTATACGCTTCTCAGATTTGATATCGACGCTGTTTTAAAGTCTAATCATGAGTTATTTCAAGATGTGCAATGGTTAAATATATACTAGTTCACCGGCATATTACTGTAACGTTGAATGCACTTTATTATATATGTTTGATATTTACGAACAGGAAATACATTCAATATATACTTGTATATATATAAAGGCTTTGCAGAGAAACCCTAGCTTTTGAATCTCTTAAGTGGTTTTGAATTTCTCTCATAATTCCTGCCATTGTCCTGTCAGCCCATGCGTCAGCCACGTATGAGTAGGAGTTGTGGCTTCTTACACAGAATACTAGTGCCCTCTAGCGGTGGCTCAGTGCTCCTACACCAGATGAAAGGGCTGTCTGTACAGTTCCGCTTCTATGCACAATTCTGTATTTGAGTTGTGCTTCAAACTTCAAACATATGAAGAGATATTTGAGGAGATTTATTTGGTATAAATTAAAAACAAATTTCAAGAATACACAACCCATCACGTGACCATGTCCATAGTTGCCAAACAAATGTTCTTGACAACCAACATTTCTCTTTTAGCCTAACAGACAGCTTACTGCCAGGTACTTCCCACAGGTAGATTCATATCAAATTATGGAACAGAGCTTTCATTCAAGCATGCATGGACTTTAATTAACTAGATAAAGTTGTCATTTCTCAATATTGGTTGTCAAGAACATTTCCCATCCATGATTATGGAAATGTTTACGCCATGGATCAGTTGTAGGCAAACTGTCGGTCTGGATCCTCCTTTTTTATTGTTTCTGTTTGTTTGAATTGATACAATGCATTGTAACAGTTCCTTTAGATCAACATCTACAAGAATATTTATATATATTTAATATATTAATTTTTAATGCATGTGTTGTATTCAGTGGCTGTAATGGGTAAGTCAAAGATAATAACTTTAAGGGTGTATTAGTCGCTCTTGACTGTTAACTTTGGCAGAGGGGAAATGGCTCTTTTGATTATAAAGGTTGCTGACCACCGACACAGATGGATGGTACAACAGGGAGAAGGGCCCACAAAACAGAGACAATGGACATATACAATTGAAATAGGGCAAGGCAAGTTTATTTGTATAGCTCAATTCATACACAAGTGCTGAACAAGACTAAATAGCAAAAATCATAAATAATCAACAGTACATTAAAAAGAATGATAAAAAATATAAAATTTCTCAGTTGTATGCACAGCTAAACAGAACTGCTTTTAACCTTGAAATTATTTAAAAATCCTTCAAAAATGTAAAATGTGTGATCATAGAGTAAACCCCGTTGTACATGTGTGTTTCCAGGCTCGGTGGTCATGGGAGCAGCTCCTCGATCCTTGGCGTGTCCTTTTCTCAGCACGGCTCTGCTCCTCACAGTCCACAGCATCTTATGACAAACCGGATCTACGGAGCTCTGAGCCCCCTGCCCCTCCGCCTCTCCTCTCTGTAAAGACGCCATGTCCCTCTGCACAAGAAGGGAACGGCTCTTTTACAACTTGCTTTCATGAATCTGAAAGGACTTCTTTGAAGATTTGCTTTTGGATACCTCGGAGGCCCTGGTGATGTGTGGTGCCAATTGGTTCTGTATATGTTTAATTCTGTCAAAGGGGAAAGTGCCAGTCGCCATCAACGGATATGTATGTTCTTCTTGACTTTTTATACAGTGACAGAGCGGGCGGTACACTCCTCTTGTCCGAGATTGAGTCCGACTTCAATGGAGAAACATAATTTGTAATTTCAGTGGAAAACTTTCTTTCTGTGCCCAGACAGAGCTACGCCTTTCGCTTTAAGACCGACCTGAATTTTGAGAGATTTCTATCTTTGCCTGGATTTGATCACGCTTTTACCATGTGACATTACAAACCTCAGCGTTGCCATGAGCTTGACTGGTTACCAAAGGTGTTATACCCGTTGTATCATTGTGAGCAAATGCAATGTGTAGACCCCAACTTGGCTTCCATCGTAAAACTGCTCATTTGTTTCAACAAATCAGTCTCTTGCCTTGTTTTTCTCCTTTATCGACGCCCTTGACAGAGAAGAGTAAGCGTACACTGTATGTATGAATCCTCAGGTCCCAATGAGCCTTAAGTCTTATAGGATTATGACCCATGATGCTTTTCTGCTTCTCCTGTATGGGCTTCTACTCATTCATTGCAGTCTTCACGTTGTTATTTTTCACATGGTCAAACAGAACATGCCTTTCCCCCTTTTGTCCTGATACGCATTGTAATACGTCGGCAGTGACTTTTCTAACATAGCTTAATATTGAGTAAGAAAGATATTTTCCTGTCTCCTGCTGTGAGAATGGTCTGTGTACGTACCCACGTGGCTTAGGACGAAAGAGTCAACTTGCTTTTAATAAACATATCGCCATGGTCCTCTTTTTTGATCGCTTATATACAGCATCATTTATAAATACATATTCAGCTGGAATTGAAATAGCCCACATCTGTCCGGTCAGTATGAACAGTATGAATATACTTGTATTTCCAGGTTTTGTTTGCTTCATTTGAAAGTAATGCCAGAGCTTTCAAAATAACCACATCACATTCTGCCTAAAACCAATCCTGCCGGGCACAAAAGTAGGAAAAGAATGAGACCAAACAAAGCCAAACAATTTGTGTGCAGGAGATCCTACTTGTTGTAAAATACCGTATTTTAGTGCATTGTGTGAGTTATTTAAAGTCTTTTTAAGTATTAAAAGTGTTTTTTTTTTATGTACTTTTTTGTTATAATTCAAAAAATCTATTTGGGAACAAAATTGGACAAAATATTGTAGGAATATTGAAAATTACTCACATGTTAAAGCTATTCTCTGTTTCTCACTGTCTTATTATTTTTTCAGATGGAATCCCAAGCTTATTTTTATAAAAAGAATAACATTCAAAGTCTGGAATTCCAAGGCTCCACTCATCACTACCAACAGTATCTTGCTAGCCTCCTTCCTCCATAATACAAAATATGCAAAACAGTTCTGCTAATTTTTCATTGGATTTATTAATTGTGGAAAAAATGCAAGAACACTGTACAGCAAGGACACAGCACACAGCAGATGAAGAGCGCAGCAGAGAGTGGAGGGTGAGGGAATGTCCAGTCCAATTATTGTGTTTTGTTCAATGTTGTCCTTGAAAAGAGAACCAGGATTGGATGGTGAACATTCAAAAGTGCATATGATAGGTTTGCATTATTACTAGGTTGACAATGTTGATAGAATAGCATCTATTTGCCTATTGTTGAGCTGCAATAAGCCAAACGGTAGGTGTATATAGATTGTGGTGGTCCAGAAAAACATGCTATAGGGTAGAGCTTGCATATTTACAAACCTTGTTTTTGGAAATATTTCTACAGCTGTAATCAAGCGCAATGTGGCATCAAATCTATCTATTCCTAAGCAGAAAATTGCAAAGTCTTAAAGCTGTTTTTCCATCCCACAAAATAATATTCATATGGAACTATAGTGTCTGTGCTCTCAAAACAGTCTGGTTCCGTTACTAGCTTTCACCAGCATGTATTTTTCATTTTCTTTTGTCACATCTTTAGCACTCAGCCAATCAGCTTTCAGCCCAAAAAGGCAAATAGTGACTCACATGGCTTACAAACAGGTGAAGACAGAGTGTTGTGGCCTGATTTGTTCAGATTACTTTTACAGGACATTAAGTTGGGTCTATTCTGATGGAAACAAATTATTTTCCACCTTCAAAATGTACATAATGTGGCTTTAAATAATGATAATAATAATTGTGTAAGATGTATCATCATGAATGGCCCAGGTTATTACACGGTTGCTAGGTAACAGAGTGTAATGCCATGGACTAGAATCAAAAAGTGAAATATTAATCCAAAATTCGACTAAATTAAAAAAATCTTGAAATGGAATTCACTTGTAGAATTTTTGTGACACCATTTTGTATTTTTTGTTTTTTTCATAATCAGCAGTTATCGTACAAATATTGTGTTTTAGTGTATGCAGTGTCCAACCTGTCATATGCATACGAATGACTTTGCTGATGAAGCTGGAGCAAAGCTGGTCGGAAAATGACATCCTCTATTGTACAACAAGCTCATTTATTGACTAGTTTACAGCTTCACAATCCACCACCAGATATACATATATAAACGCTTTCAGCAAGATTATTGAATACTCCAGTTTCAGTTTCACACAATTCCACCACACATAACTCGGGAATAAAGGCCGTCCAGAAAGACACCGATAAACTCGACATGACAATAGCACACGGATTTGTTATGTCAAGTTTAATCACGTGGGGTACAGTGGGTCATCAAAAGCAATCGGTTTTATACAAAGATTTCAGAAACATTTCATACAAAATCAGGATTTTTACAGTTTATTTGCTACTTCGGTTGGCACTACACATCTATGGTTCATAACATTCAGCGACCGGATCACACAGACAGACACCAGGTACAGTATCATTTTAAAATACTAACAGTATCTCCTACACGGAAAAGTATGTATTCTTCTGAAAATAAAATCCTTTTCATCTCAGCGCAATTTGAAAGCTGTAACACAACACAATGTCAGTTTTATCTTATATAAAAATGTAGAATAATCGACCTATCGCAAAGCCTCCTCAGTAACAGCGCTTTACGAAGATGCTTCTAACTTTAGTATTGGTCTTGTCACACAAGTTGTAGTGCTGAATTCTTTTGTGGGACTTGATTCTAAATAAGTGTTGGGTTCATTTCAGACCAAAATAGTTATCAACAAAAACAAAGCAAATTAAAAAACACGAGGCATTCACCAAGGGGCAACGTTAATTGGATTGTTTGCTCTTCTTCCTTTTCTCATGGGACATTGTTGTTTGGAAGCTTGTTTTTGTGGAATAATTTAAGTTCATACAATAACACCTTTGTTTTATTCATACCACAGAATCGTCATAATCCATCTCCGGACAAGAATGCAATCGATGTAATACTTGAGTGAGGGATCTACATGCAAATTATTTTATGTCCAATACTTTTCGGAGGTTCAGTACCGTCAAAAGGGCAAGGCTGTAAAAGAATCAATGATACATGATTTCTTAGGTCCCCAGGCATACTGTTAAGACACAACACAACAGCAACTCTCACTTCACATGATGTTGCATAATACGGCCCCCACCCACTCAGACAGGAAACCAAAAAGCACCCTTCAGAACTTCACTGTTTCCCCACAAACCACTTTGAAATACTTAAAAGGAGGGTATGTGATCTGCTCTCCAGCTGGATTGAAAAAGGCAACGCAAGCTGGAATCCATTTTTTTTTTAAGTTTCTGCTTCACTTTTGGAGTTTTTTCAGATTAGAAAGAAGGCATTCTAGTTAACAAAAGAATGATCCTTTAAACTGAAGACGAGTTATTTTTTAAATTTGTTAAGATGGAGAAATAACTTTAAAATGCCATGTTCCTGATAGGAGGGTCCGCAGTGAATGTTAATCACTGTGGCCCTTCAAGTATTACTGGTGATGCTTATTTCAAGTGGAAAGATGTGTTTTAGATATAAGCATCATAATAACAACTCAATATAGTTGATACTACAGGGTCATATAGTCAAAAAAAGGTATTTTCAACATGAAATACAATTTAAGTCACAGACATCACCTTTAAGACTCAAAAGATCAAGAGAGCATATGAAAAACTCAATGTATATCTTTATTTAAAAAAAGTATTTTCCAACCACATTTAATGGCATCACAACATAATTGCTTTAGCTGCTTTTTAGGCAAAATTAGTTATTTTTCTCCTGACCCTGATGCATTTATAGGTGTACGTTGCCATAAACCAATACAAAGAAAAACAAGAATTATGCTAAACAAGGATTGGTTTGCCCAGTAAGTATCTAAGCAAGTACAGATTGATCACATTTATGACATTTTAAATACATACCCTCCATTTAAGATTTGTAAAAGAGCCATGAAAAAGCCTGTCAAAGCCTCAGGTCAATGCCAGGAAACAATGAGCACTCACTAAAATGCAGGTGTACCACTATTTGGTAATAATCTAAAAGCTATTTATGAATGTCCAAAATATATTAGGCTCATGTTGTTGTAGTTGTATGATCTGTGCACTCTTTATAATATATATCCACAATGTTAGTATTGAGAGGTGCACTTCAAATCAAATTGTGACGGTGGTAAAATATTTCCAGAGATCGTTTGGTTTGATTACAACAATGTATCAAAGTCCGTGAAGGATAGACTTCCTCGTAATGCTTGAAAGACCAGAGCAAGAGAAGATGATGTAGTTTGTTTGTTGGTTGTTGAGGCTGTTGGGGCTTTAGAAAGTGGGTGGTAGGTCCAGAGGCGGCACTAACATGGGTGGGCCAGAGGGGGGCACTGTGGTCTCGAGGAATCACAACTGAAGTAAAGAGAGAGAATAAAGTTAAGGTTAGGTTTTTAATTCCTCATGTATTTGTGAATTTGAGAGGAAATGTGCAAGAGACTTTCTTTGGAACACTGGCTCAATCTATTTATAACCACAGTCTACACAATATTCAATTAAAGCTGGTGCACCTAACTTTCAAAGCACAAAAATATGAACTGTAAAATGTAATGAAATCCATGTTGTTAGTTCCTCATTTTTGAAACAGTTTTTTCACAATTTTTCACATGTTTTTGTCACATCTTTATCAGCTTAAGCTCGTTTTTTCTTTTCTTTTACAACAGAATGGTCTCTGAGGACACACATGTATTTTCTTTGGAACAAAAAATTTAGGTACACCACTTCAAAGGAAAAAAAAGTCCATTATGATATTTTTTTATCACTAATAATAATAATAATGATAATGATAATTTGGTTTTGGACACTCTAAAAAGGTCCAAAACATTGCATTATGGATTCACTCCATACACTGCAGTGATAAACTACTACTGTAGCCACAGCTGCCCTCGGGCACAGAAGCGAGACAACCAGAAGTATGTGCCATTGGCCCCAACCAGTGTCTTGCCTTAACAACACACAACGACAGTTTGACACTTTGCCTCATTATGGCACCTGATGTTCCCAGAGGTCTCCCATCACAATACTAAACAGGCCCTGTCCTGCTTAACTTCAGAGGTCTTACAGGATCTGGCTTTCACAGGTGGAGCCAAGAGGTGTTCCTGTTTTTCCATCAATGCTAAATGCTTATTACGTCTAACAAACACAACGGAGATATTGATTGACATATTCTAGTTCCTCAATAGTGCTGCTTAATTTAAAGGTTCATAATAACTAAGTTCAGATTTGTGCGTTTCAGCAATAATCATATATTTGGTTTATAGGTGGCTCCTCCTCGTCCAAGTATGCACATGTGTGGATGATAAAGAGGTGATATTTGCACGGAGCGTTCTGAAAGTGCCTGTACCTCCGAGGCCCCGTGTCGATCTTCAGTGGACGACTCTGTTTCCCTGACGACCACAGCCTTCGTCACCAGCATGTCCGGGTGCTGCTGCCGGGCCTCCTGGATCGCGATGGCCAAAGCCTAAAGGTGGAACAAACAAGGGGTTCTGTGAGTTATAGAAGGCAAATGTAATGATAATAAATACAGTAGGTGAGTAGTGATCTTTAGTCAAGTACATTTTCTTAAATATTAGCTACAACATTTATTAACATGATAAATCATGTTCACTTATCCATTTCAGTTGAACACAATTAAAACGCCACACTGATGGGTTCAAACTAAAATTATCAGACTATATTTGAACCTGTTTAAGTGACTACTTCCATCCTACGTCAAGATGCTGGTTTTAGTACTGCATAGAAGTGCCTAACGCTGACCACAATAAGACCGTTCTAATATGTTTGGTTTTTTCTGTATTTGGGAGGTCTGGGGAGTCAGAAAACTGGCCAATATCAGGCTTAGCAAGATTTGTTCATAAAATCCAATAAATATGGCTCCTTTGAGCATACATACAGAGTTTTATGACTGGGACTAATACTAAAGGCTTCATTCATTATTGGAACACAACAACAATACTGTATGCTATATATTTGTCTTCATTGTGTGTCCCCAAATGATTGATTATTGTGAAGTTATTAGAGTAGATTGTCTGGCTGCAAATGCACTTCTAAATGATAGTAGTTTGCATTTTTGTTTCTTTGCTGAAGTAAAGTTAGACTTTTATCAGTTATTATCAGGAATCTCATTGACTCCACACTGAGCAGCGTTAATTTATTCATGACAAAAGCACCGAGATCCATTAATGTGGTTCGACCCACTAGAGAGCTTGTTAATTACGGCCTCAGGCTCCGTCCCGGACGCACCAAGATTCAGTAACTATCTTTCTGCGCTGCAGTTTTGAGTTTTATTATATTTTTAAAACATATTTTCTATACATATTATCCATGCACATTTGACATAACTCTAACTCACTCTTCACATGGTCTTCACTGATGCGTAGTGCACTGGCTGGGATTATAGATATACAGTAAACGTAATCATGCATAATAATCCCACTGTTTTTAATAGAAAAAAATATTAGTAATGTATTATCCCTGTTCAATGTATCAGATGATAATTGATAATGTGTCAACAAACAGACATTTAGTAACTCTAGAAATATAACGTCTATTTATGAATACTATAAACATCAAAGCGGCTGTATTAAAACAAAATTGAGGAAAAAACCTCAAATGACGAAAGCAGCAGTAATCGCTCCTCTGCTAATAACAGCTGCTGTATGAAATTCACCCAAAATAAATCATAGTTTCCTCTCGCTGTTTTCCTCTGACCTGTTCTTGGTCCACATCATCGTCTCCTGTGATGATGATCCTCTTTTCAATCCTGGTCTCGGAGTACCCTCCCTTCACCGTCTGAAAACATAATTAAAATAGATATAACCCATTTATCTGTCTCTGTAAAAGCTGTCACTTAATTACATATTAATGACATGCTTAGCTAATTCAATTAGCGCTGCATTACTTTGGTGACATGAGTAGTGGCGGAAGTCACATTCTCAGTGGTGAGGATGGGTGAGCCGGCACTCTCTCTGCCAAACGTGCTCATGTGAACCTGACAAATGAGGAAACATCAGTTTAAGCCAGAATAGCAGAACAAATCCTGTTCAACAATCGCATGCAAAGGCGAGCCTCGAGCTTCATCGACTGCACCAATCTATATAAGATGGAACTGGAAACTTTGGTTGGGTACGGTTGGTTTGCATTTCACAAGCATGCAACTATTAAGATAAGATAAACCCTTTCACATATTATTGCACTGCTATTTCAATTATTACCACAGAGATTTAAATGGAAACATGTCAATGCGCTTACTCACTGGAGAAACACTTTGTCTTGTTGAGTAGGACACATCGCTGAGACTGCTGAGACCATGATCCTACAATAGATAGAAATAATTCAATGTAAGTGGATTTTAGAAGTGGATTCTTTAAAAAAAACACTGGACTTACTAATTTGGATGAATTGCTGAGTAAAGGCCCTGTACCTGGTCAGTGAATTCCACAATGGTGGTGGTGACCTCGGCTCCGTTGCGCTGGCTCTCTGACTTCCTGGGGGCCGCGGCGGGGGTCACATCACTGGCCTCTCTGCTCAGAGGAGCCACAGCACCCACTCGACTGCCTTCTCTGTCCACACTCGACGACACTGGCACCGACCGCTTGGGCTTTTTAGGAACCACAGGCTGGGAGGTGAGACATCCACAATTCAGTAAAGAACAAGGTGTATTTGGAAAACAAATGTTTGTTGTTAATTTGTTTGGGATAGCTTATGTTATTGTACACCTCTCCTCTCAAAGGGTTGTAGCATTGGACTAAGTTGCACCCTGAACTATTGTGCATGATTTTGTGCGAGGGGGAATCCCACGCGGACACAGGGAGAACATAGAAACTCATTCCAAGTGGTCCTATCAGGTCCTCCAATCAAAGCTAGAACCTTCTTGCTGAGAAACTTGAATGGCAAGCTCTGTGCCACATTTTTATTCCACTTATGCTTGCAACTTTTAATTTATAAGCAAGGGAATAGCAAAGTCATTTTTCATCTATCTAAAGAATTCAAATGATCAATGTTCTGACAGTGGAGGTGGGGCGCTTTCAAGATGTTCCTGAAGTGGCCCATATCTGTGCAGTAAGTGACCTGGGGGTGGTACAGGATGAGCCTTATTTTTAATTTATTTTTGACTTCATTTAATTGTTAACTTACAGATGTATCAGTGAGTCTGAAATGTCTGACTTTCTAATGAAAGATTATTTATAGGATTTTTGAGGGTGGCGTCTCAAAATAGCACAAATTCAAGCTTCAAAGAAAACACAAGAATGAAACGTCTGCAATGTTCAGAATGTCTTAAAGTGTTGCAGAGAAAGGCTGTACAAAAACAACTTAAATAAGGATAAAACATTTTCACCGCAGATAATACTACAAAAACTGCAGTTTTGAGGATTGTTTCAGAGAAAAGATCTTGTGTTTTTGGACAAAGCCTTTAACCATGAATTTATTAATCATACATCAACACCCAAAGCATTGTGCCTCGAGAACGACCCATGTCACTTTCACTTTGGGTATCATAAATATTCAGTTTAAAATGTGCATCTTTCAGATCAGAGGACGGGCTGCGCACCTGTCTGATGACCTCTAGGCCCTCAGTCCTTCGGGCTTCCTCCAGCTGCACAGCTCTGGTGGGTGGGCTGCTGCTGATTTTGGGCATGGGGGCGGCCACTAGAGGGGGCAGTGGTTCAGGGAGGTGCTGCTGCAGGAGGTCGATGCCCAGGCACAGGCCTCGGTCTGGAGACAAATCTCTCTCTCCGAGCTCCTCCATGCCACGGGAGAACTCCTCCATGCCGCTGTGCAGGTCTGTGAGCACCGTGAAGTCCACCTCGGCCTCCAGGCTGGACGTGGAGCTCACTGTGATGCTGGAGCACTTCCTCTCGATGCCCAGGTGACTCTCCTTCAGATACAGGCTCTCATGGTCCTGATCATCCTCTGACACAGAGCCCAGGCGCCGCTCCCACAGATCCCGCTATGGCACATAACTACATTACATTCACAAATAACAGGTCTGAAAAATGAAAAATAAATAGAGGACTCACGGATGCTTCGATAAGAGGCTCCTCATGGATGGAAGGAGTGGGAGGTGTCTCCTAGAAAAACAGGACATTGCAACATTACAACTGCATGTGTGGAGCACTTCTTAATGTAATGTGACTATAATAAGCCTTGATTAGTCTAAGTTCTGACATGACATGTCTAAACAACAGAACAGTAAGCCCCTGTAAATATCATATCCAATACATATATGCTCTTCTTGTGCCAGAACATTTTGGTACACATGATGATTTCATAAAAGAAACAGTTGTAAAAGTTCCTTACCAGCTCTACATGCATTGAGCATCAGTAAACACACTCTAACATGAGTGTATGGCAATGCCGTGCACTGAGGGAGACTCCTTGAGTCTGTCAGGAGCGAGGGATTCATATCCTCAGTGCTGATATGAATGCCTGAGCCCTGAGAGATAGGCAGCTCTGCAGCTGACTACATCTCATTCACTTCCACTTTTTCACTTTCTGCTACAGAAATGCCAAGGCAGAACATTTGGCTGAAATGCCCTCTTAACCATTTACAGGAGTGCCACAGAGATCATGTAAAAAAGGAACAAAAAGTGAAAAAATGTCTTGCGCTCCTTGCAACAGCAGCCACCTTTTCTGTGAGGGTGTTGGAAGGAGAGATACTTAAGGTGAAGAATAGGGAACGGTAGAAGCTTAAGCAATGGTAAGTTTGCTTAAAGGCCCACGGTTCTGAGATTGCCAAGCAGATGTCAAGCTTTGCCAAATGCCTCAAAGAAACACGCACTTAGCTTCCTGGTCATGGGCGAGAGCTAAGTCGGCAATGATGCAATGCCAGCAGACGTGAATAGTGCTTTCTCATTCACAGTCACATGAGGGCAGATGAATGAGGGGCCATTAGTTTAAGTTGTACGTGACAAAAACTAGTTTGCACTGAGGCTCATGCAATGCTCTAACTGTCCCATGACTGACAGACAGCTTTAGGGCCAGATGATTTACCGCTTGCTTCCTGCTGCCTGTCTCCTGGCTGGACGACCTGTGGTGAATGTGGCTGGTGTCCATGTGACTGGGACGATCTCGAGACCATTGGGTTTTGAGCGGAAGACTTCGAGGGGGAACCGAGGGAACCTTGAATTCTGCATTGTTTTGAAATTGATCTTCCGGTCTTGTATTCCCAATCAGTCCTGTTTCACCATGCTCTTTTCTGTCAGAGAAATCGCTTCTACATTGCGCTTCTGGTGCTCCATTCTTGTCCCTCGTGGTTTGTGGGTTTTCAATCACAGCATTTTGAGGGGCATCACTATCTCGTGCTGTATTCTCCGTCTCCCTCATCCTATCTTGTGATGTCTCAGACCACCTAGACGTTTGCAGGCTTGTAGCAGCTTTGTCATCCTTATTCAAAGACTTCTTCGATCTTTGCGGTTTTAAGGGAACCACTTTAGTGACTTCCGAATGCACATTCTCTGCCGTGTTGCCATCTTGTTGTCTCTTTTCGCCAGCACAAGAGTTGCTGTCATTTCTTATGCCATCATCGTCCTTTGGGAAATATTCAAAATTCTGACTGTGTGGAGCATATCCATTTTCGTGAATGGCATGTGTATCTAATCCTTTGTAATGTCCGTTAGTCATGGAAGAGAGGGAAATATCCTGGTGTGGTGATACGGCTTCGCTCACTCTGGTTGGATCCCAAGGAATTTGGCCGTTAGTCCATGTTTCTCTACCCGAAGAGGTCCTACAAGACTCCACTGTTCCATCGCAAGCCTGGTTGTCAATCATTTTGGCCTCATCCATCGCCTATGTTGACAAAATTAACAGTTGTATTAGCCTATTTGATCTAGTGGTTGTGCAAAGTAATATTTTCTTTAAGTAAATAATACATATGCATTCAGAAAATACACATTGAAACAGTAGTACAGTATTTAGCCACTAACTGCAAAGTGCTTGAATTATGTTGTATGCATTATAGTCCTACTTCAACAGCAGCATCATGTTTCCATAATCAAAGTGAGAAATGTATGGTTGTTTTCTGTTTTCAGATACAACATAATCTTGTTCTAGTATGATAGTCCAAAACACTATGTACTCAAATCAGGATCGATACCATTTACTCCATGCATTTCAAACATTTTATAATGGTTTACTATCACAAGTTCATCTCATCTGATTAATGATTCCTTTTCCATAATTTTAATGGATAACCTGTAAGTCACAAAGCGTATTCAAATACACAGTTATCCACAGCGTTATACAATGGGAAAAATAATAGTGGTTTTGGTAAGAGTTATATTAGTGTGTTCGGTTTCCATCTCTTTAAGACATAATAATTACAATGATAAAATATATGTGTGGCTTTCTTGTTCAAATCAAACACCCCAGACTATTCCGAAGCGCGCTTGTTTATGTAAGTCAGGTAGAACAAAGTTTAACAGCAGCATATTGCTTGGTCACAGCTGAGTGCAGTGGAGGAGGCTTAGCTTACGGTGGGCTTGCGTTCGGGGGTTCCTCCGGGGGAAGGGGAGGGGGGGACGCGCTTCTTGCTGTTGGGCTGCCGCAGAGCTCTCTTCAGCTCGTTGATGCTCGCCTGGTGCTTCTGAAGGACGTCCTCGGGTTTGTCCAAGAACTGCTGCTCACACCACAGAACAGGCCGTTAGAATCATGGTGAGAATACTGTCCGTCATGCTGAGGTTGCTACACATACGCAATTCACAAAAAGACAATGACATGTTTGTTAGAGCTTGGAATAAGGTGCGTATAGCCTGATGTGACTTTGTTTTTGACTGTTTCTGAATAAGATTTTCCTCTTGATGAAGAAAACAATTTACACAATCTCAAATAAATTAGAATTCATGCTAAAGAGGCGTTATGCAACTTTGTATGAGAAACAAAAGTTAATATTTTTGCATATTTGACCTTGTTGATGTATGAATGGTCAGCATGGTACCTTTACTTCAGACCATGTTGTGTTTATAGAGTTCCAAGATCAATTGTTTTATAATTTACACAAAAATATTCACTTATTTCTACAGACAAAGTTACATAATACCCTTTAATGCACTTGAAATTAGACTAAACATTGTAAAATTGTAATTCATAACAATAACCATATGTTTACCACGTCCAAACTCAGGTACAGGGTCTTTGACTTGATCTCTATAATCTAAAGCAGTAAACCAGTGACGTCCAAAACACCACATGACAAAAACAGAGAGCTCAGGCAGTACCTCCTGTTTGGGCCGAGGGACGACCACCACGTCCTGCTCCGACACAAGTGATGGTCAGGGCCAGGGTGAGGGTCAGGGTGAGGGTCAGGGTGAGGGTGAGGGTGAGGGTGAGGGGGCAGTTTGGGGGATAAAGGAGGTTTGAACAGAGCAGGAGGTGGAGGGTGGACGACAGACGGAGCGTGCAGAGACAGAGGTGATAAAGTGCAAGTGAGTCAAAGGCAGGCAGCCACACAGACATGAGGCTTCAAAAACACCTCCCCTTTTCCACAACTCTTCATTTTCTTAAGACGATATCATGATATTTAAAACACAAAATAGTATGTTATTTATTAGACACTACCACTTTTGATATGTATAGATCAAAATGTTTCATCCTCATTTTAAGCACTTATACTTTACTGAAATGAGTCAAGATGCTAGTTTTTTTAATCTTTTGAGCTTCTCTTAGTGCGTCTTTTGAATATATATATATAAATAAATAGAAAGAACTGGAGTTTTTGCTACTCTATTATCTTAAAATGATTCAAAACCAATGTTAATTATGTTTTATTTGATTTAATCTATCTTCAGATGGATTAAATCTGAGGTACACACTACTGATTGTAATCAAGTGTGTACTTTGCTTGGAGAATAGCTTCACTTGACAGAAAATGTGGTCAATGCTAAATGGTGTTTTTTCCGCTAAGTGAGAAAAGTGAATTTGGATTGATTTTTCTGACAGAAAACTCTGAACTCTGGAGATAAAGAGGTGACATATCTGTGGCCCTGAGGAATCTAAGGGTAATTAATTCATTGAAAGTGAAATATAGGTTGTGAAAATAGGTTACGTTTTAATTCTTTGAAAAAGGTGTTTCAATAGATTCCCAAAACTCTGAAAATTAATGTTACTCTACAATCAGCTCAACAACATTCCAAAAGCCTTATAATACAGGTACATACAAACAAGGATTTATAAGATTTCTGAGGCTTTGAGAATGCTGTTTGGGACACCTTTTAGGGATTATCAATGGTGAAAGAAGTACTTTTACAATTAGTTCCTCGCAAAATGCTACTTTGCCTGCACTATAAGGTCATCTGTTAATCCACGCCAGGTCATTTACGCCTTTGGGAACATGTGGGGACAGTTAGCGCAGACACGTTCCGACTGCGTGAGTGGACACAGTATCAAAGACAAAGGTAGATGCCTTTGAGGTGAATCACAGATGAATCCCAGCAGGACATGCTAAAGTCAGAATATATTACATTTTTGTGTCTGCTGAATGAGCATGCAGTTTCCATGGATTACAGACATCCAGGAAATCCCGACGTGGAAGAACCAACATTCCCTTTGGACATGAAAAACAAGACAACGCACAGTTCATGACCCACAACAGGCAAAACCACACACGTACACACACAGACACACACGCCTGCGGTCCAAATACCTCCGGCTTTGAGTCTGGTGGCGAGCCTGCCTCCTCTCGCTGTGGGGAGCACAGAGCAAAACATTTGAGCAGGAGGAGAAGCAGGGAATATTAGCTTTGAGGGAGGATTTAGAGGATTATAAAGGAGGGATAAATTGTTATGTTAAGATTTAAAGGTCACCTATTATACGAGTGATCTTTTCATTAAGTGGGTCCACAAAGTCGGTGGAGATCTGCCAGGGGTTCTGTCAGATGCGATTAGATATGGCAAGATCTTAAGCTCCTGAAAATATCTATTTGAAGTTTTGAGAAACTGTAATTACATTCAGGGTTATATCATCAAACTGAGACTGTAGAATGTTTAAAGGAAAACGTTACAGATGGTGTTGAGTGTCATCAGACAAGAATAAACGACAATAAACATTTATTGGAAGATAAACCTATTAGGGGACCTTTAAATACATAGTATGGTTTTAGTGGGAGTTGTTAGTAAAAACAAATGTAATATGTAAAAATGTAATACCTTTTGAAGAATTTTTGAGACCTTTTTAAATTGTTCTCATTGGAAATGTGTACATTTAGAATAATCTACGGCTGCATGATATTGGAAATAAGTACAACAAAAATATATATTCATTTTCTTCTTCCTGAAAAAAAAACTTTAATTGCATTTGCAATTATTGTAATAACATTACATTGAGCAGCCAAATAATAATTGTTTTAAGTAATTATTATTAAAGGTTGACAGGAGGATTTTCCCAAACTTTAGGAAAGAACCGCCCTCTCCACTTATTGAACAAAACTCTCTGGTCTTATTTGACGAGGACGTATCACCAGAATGATTGACAAATGAGAGGACCAATAGTCTTGATGATCCACCCGGAAGTATAAAATCCTCAATCCTATCCACCTTTTAGCAAAACACATTATGTGCAAAGAAAAGAAGACTATAAAGGTAAGAAAACTACCATGTTCCAAATACAACATGTTGAAAAATACTTTGTAATGCCTCTAATGTCAGCTATCAACTTGCATTACTTTCTCTGATATTATGACATGCTTTATCCTGTACCTTTAATTCAATGGTTTTGCTGTGGGGTGGGGAGACGTCACATTGGTCTGGACCCTGGTCTAACTCCTGGTCTGTGAACTCGCTCTGGTCTTCATACTGGTACTGGTCATGGTCCAGGTCCAGACTCCCCTCCTGGTCCAGATCGTCCCGGGACATGAACTGCGTGCGGTCACTGGAGCTCCTCTGAGACAGCTGGTCCATGCTGTCCCCGAGAGCAGAGGCTACACACACATAGATGATAGATATAGATCAGTTTAGTGCAATATTAAAGTCTGTCTGTCAGGTTATACTGAATCAATGACTGCATAGAGCTAGACAATCCAACCTGCTAGTTCAACGAAGCTTAATAGGGAAGTGCTCATGGACAAAGATTTGCTCCATGAGAAGTCAACTGGCTCCTAATGACTTCATTGAAAAGTACTCTTATCTAGCTCAGTAACAGTTCTTTGCCACTCATCATTATGGACCGTAGAAAACTGTTTGAATCGCTCTATGATCCAAGTGTTTATTTATTATAAAATATCAACAATATATTATAATGTTCAGTCCACTAATAATATAACGTCTACGTACAGAACATTTGCTCAGATTCACCTAAATGTTGTTTTGTCTGGATATTAATACATTTGAACTATTCGATATATTTCCTTGACAGTGAGTCAGCAGCAGAACAGTTGAGGATTTTAAAATAAATACATTATGATTTTGATGAAAATGTTTCAAGTGTAATCCCAGTTTGATGGTTATCCTTTAATGTCCTCTAAAATTAGATTTTGATGAATTACATTAAAAATATATGTTTATTTAGTGATGTGAATCATTTAGGTAAATTTAAATTAGCTTTGTCATGCCAAACTTCTGTCTATTCCTTGTGTGATGGCATCAGTTCTCAAACCTTGCTATTTTAATTACAACACTGGTGTAAAATGACTTAAATCTTGACCAGGTGCTTTTCTATCAAAAAAGCTCAAGAGCTAAAATATATTTGTTATATGGGCAGTTTGATCCCTTTAAAGTGCATATTTTTAAAAAATACACACCGTTGACTTCAATTCATAGTTAAGAGATAATAAATACATAAAGCTCATTTACCGATGCTATTTCATGAGAATCTATGTTTTTAACCCGTGTCTTGTCATTAAGGTTTGCAGTGAGACTCTCTAAGACTGTCTAATAGCAGTATTCTCAGTCTGTGGCCTCCTGACCTCCGTCCAGGCTCCGCGGCAGCATGTGCCTTTTGCTGACGGAGCGTTCGAACAGGGGGGCGGGTCTGTCAATCATGGAGCTGGCCTGTCTGGTCTGGGCCTGTGTCCTCCCACTGTAGCGGAACTTTGAGCCAATCACCAGGAAGCCCTTCGGAGGAGGCTCTGGAGACACCAACCTGTGGATAGCGACACAAGTTGTGAAAAGCACTTATAAGCTCATTGCTGTGAAGAGTTACAATGTGGGGAACATCCTCACATCTAATTTAGGCAGGATATTAGAAAATCTTTTTCAAGAGTTCCCTGGACAAGAAACAGCTCACAACAACTAACGACCAATGACGAAGAAAAGCTTTAGACCAAACAAGACTACAAACATAATCCAACAAATCATTAAAAAGTAAAATATCTATTTCAAAATATCTATTTACTGTAATGTATGAAATATTAAGATTCCATACTAGCCTCAATGTTCACCTGTTTAGCTCGACACAAGCTTCAAAGGACAATTTGAGAATTCATGTTATCTGAACGGTCAAATCAAGTTCGTATGGCCTCTTCTTCATCAATTGAGCTTAAACCAGCTTATATGCTTTTCGATTGTCTAGACAGAAAAACATGAACAATTAAGTTTGTGGGTGGCCGAAATGAATGTTTGAAATCCCGGAGCCACAAAGTCGTGTATTTACATAATTATACACAGACATGGACAACCACAGTCAACATATTCCGCTTTCCATCGTAAACACAACATAACATAATCAATCAACATATTTGTGGGGGATATTAAAATAATGTGTATCTAAAGGTTGTTTATGTAAAAGTTTGGCACTGCATTAAAACCCACAGATTTGCATGCGTATGTTTTACCTGAAGAAAGTGTGATTCTCAATGCAGACTTTCCAGAGCCTCTTGGAAGCCCGGTGGTTGGGAAGCTTGAAGCCTATGGTGCTCTCAAACTGCTCGTACTGAAGGGTAAGTGACAGAGGTGAGGGAAGGGGGTGAGAAAGTGAGGAGACATAGTGAAATCTACAGCTACTTTCTTCAAGACAAAGAAAACATAGCACAATGGGGACAAGTCAGGGTGAAATACAGCCGTTGCAAAATATTTACAGTTGTTTGCATCAGATAGACTGTGACAAAAAGCTAAAGAAAAACAAGTCGACTCCAAAAGCGACTGAAATAAAATGCAATGATTCAAATTGATCCTTTTTGGGACCCTTTGGGGTACAAACAATTAGTGCTTTTGTGAAGCTGAGTCCTTGTAGTTTGGCTTCTGTTGATGAATATACTCTAATTATGAGTGGGAACAATCTCTGCCCAGATAAAGATCCAGCTCTTGTGCGCTGATGTGTTCGTTACTAAATATAAGACGAGGAATTGTTGGTGTCTGGGGTTTGGGTCAGGGCTTTTGAGTGACAAACTTTAACAATCTCCCTTTCACAGTTGAGTAGATTGAAAAGTAGATTTTGGGATATGTGATGAAGCAAAAAGGTCTTGCTGGAAACATTATGCCAAATACTAAAGATTTTTAGATAAATCTGAAAAATATGAATCTTAACTGTACTGTGAAATTATGGGCTGGCTTTGATCCTGGTGCTGGGCGATCCTGACCCAGATGAATGTACATAGAGATAACTCATGAGTGATTCTCTGCTTGTGAAGATAGCAAATGCAGATGTTAGAAAGCAAGACATCTTATATCCCATGACATGTTATTGTTAGAACTATATTCCGTTAGCTGCTATAAAGTTATCTATGTACGCTCAGGGTTACCTGGTTCTGGAAGGTGGTGGCCAGCAGCCTATCCATCCTTCTTTCATGCCAGGTTCCCTGCTCTCTCTGGTCCTGACATTAATCGTAGCAGCCCTCTCACATGGTGTCCCAACATCAGGGGGTCTTGTCCCTCGTGCACATTCGATTTGTGGTATGAGGGAGAACACGGTAAGTATGAATTATAAATTGAGTGTATTTTGAGTTTGTATTTTGATCTATACAGTTTATTATTGTGTAATCACAATGTCTGTCTGATTCAGTAGCATCAAATACTTTTACAACATGGATTGTGGAGGAGACTCATTATGCATTAGAATTTAAGTACAAAAACACACATCAATTAAGCAGAACCTTGATAACAGCTGAAAAAATAACTACAACATGTATGCTAAAGTACATACAATACAGAACATTCTAATGTTGCAGTAAATCCTCTCTACATTGTGGAGCAAATCCCCAGGATGTATGAGGTTAAAGAAGACACAAATGAATGCCACAGTTTGGACACTGTTTTCTACGCTGCTGCAGAACCATGAGCCATTTCAGCCTCTCCTCCTCTTAAGCAGTCTCTCTGCAGAATCAGCTTGATGACAAAAGTCTATCCATTATAAAGCCACTTATCACACTCACTCTTTTGTCTGGCACATCAGTGCTCCAGGTTGAATAAGCCCACGTCTCACTATTTGTCACCTTTCTGTAGCCATTGCGTGGCTGAATTTCAGAAGACAAAAATGTGAGCTAGTTAAAATGAAAAAGAAAATATGACAAAAAAGACCTGGAGGTGAATTCAAATTGACAGCTTTCTTAATCTTGTCTCCAAATGGCCTTGCTATTCATTATTATGGAGACATCAATGTCAATTTAATACCAAAGACACCCCCTTAGGCTCAAACACAGCAATTTATAAGATTTTCAACAGTTGAGAATCACGGCATGGTATAATAAGCAGCTAAAATCCTTGATAGAAAGTAAATCAGCTTGAAAGGACAATATTACATGTAGAATAGGAATAATCATGAAGCAAAATATAAACTATGAAAATACTAGAGATAAGAACAACAGAAGTAATACTTTTATCAAGCCGTGAAATTACCTTTTATGCCACTTTTGGAAAAGACAATGATGTAAATTTCAGAAGTGAAATGCCGTGAAATTAAATCTGAAGCGGTAGCTCCTTTACAAATTAGGCTTTCGCCGCAAAGATGGAGTTTCCAGTTGTCCATGCAGTGACAGTGCGGTGATAACAAAAACACATAAAAGAATACACAAACCTCTCCCGGACGGATCTTGATGTAGAAGTTGCTCCTCTTGTAGGAAATCTTGAGAATCTTTGGCCAAGCAAAACGGTTGATTCTGAGGCGGTCTCTGTAGATGAGCAGACCGCTGGCACTGACCCCCAGCATTATGTCAATACCCTCTGAATCCTGACAAATACAATGAAAGACGGATGTTTGGTCTCAGTGCACACATGAGCTTTGTTTAAAAGGGGAAAACCTTTGGTGCCCTTCCATAAGGGCCACAGGTGGCTGGTGTCTGGCAAGAAGCAGTGGGTTTGAGAGATTTGTCAGTTCCAAAGTAGCTTTGTCTTTGAAGAATAGATCATGCATCATTTGTATTCATTTGTCAGTTTTTACTTCGTTGATGCTTGTCTTAGAGAGTGAAATATTAGATTGATATGAATATGAATAGAAACCACAAAACTAAAATCTATAGCAGTGGGAAAATACTGCTGTTTTAATATCTATAATGTGCCGTATTCCCAAAACTAATCAGAGATGATAATTGGTTTAGCAGTATTTGCTCTTCCCTTGGTGAGTGAGTCTTTGAGACAAAAAGACAGTGCTTCATATTCATTTTCATTACCAATTTCATTATTGAAAATATCTGATTTTATGGAACATTTGTTCCATGAAATCACTTCTAAACATTCACTTCCAATTATAAATGAAATTAATCTTGCTTGAAAAGAGTTCTACATTCTACATCTACATTCTTCTCTGTACATAGGACTGTAAATGGAGTAGCAATGCTGACTTTTAGTAGAAATTGTGGCTTGTCTGAATCATGTCTGACATACAATCTTCAAGAGATTATCATCATTGATAATCGATAAGGATACTGAATAATACACGGCAAATCGGTTTCAAAATTCTATAAAATTCTAAGCATAAAATAAATAAAACAAAAAAAATCTTAGAAAACTTTGAAATTAATTCACACAAGGCGATAAAGTGAATACAGTATGTGCTGCTGTAAATATAAATCAGCTTTAATTACATTTGCATAAGGATGACGTTTGATCCATACCTTGGCTTGGTGTAAGTCCACTCCATACATCGAAAGCTTCTTGGCATTTTCTAGAAAGTTCATCTCCGCCTCTGCTGGACTCATCCCCCTGCAATCCAAATGCCAAATGAATCCCTCTCTCAACCCATTTATATTCATTGAACAAAATCAAAAGGCCATCCCAAACCCACATTACCAGTGTTTTTCCCTCACCTGTAGTTTCTGTGCAGCTCCATGACTCTCTCCTCCAGCTCTCGCGTTTGATTTGGTGCAAAGCGGAAATCATTGACGTAATCCGGGCCGTGCTCCTCTGGTTCATAGTCGCCTATTTCAGCCTGCACCGTGTAGGAACCTAAGAGCGCGTGGGTGACGAAGGAGCAAGGCAGGCGTCCGGACAAGATGTCATCGCGCAGCTGGAGACACAAGTAGTATCTGTGGGAAAATAATATTACTATTAGTATCACTTCATTATTACATATTCCAATCATCTGATAATTCACTAGTCACTTTACCTGCTGATATTATTACTAATACTCTTGTTTATTCTGGTCATATTCTCTGCTGATAAAGTACAACATAAACATCTGTGAATACCTCATGATGCTGCTAAGTGTACACTCAAGGCCAAGGTCAAGAACAGACCAAGTGCAATTATAGCTCCAGAGTTTTTTTATTGTACATAATATATCCTGCATTTAACATGTTTGCACATTTCTTGCTTTTGCACAATCTTGAGTGTTTCTATCCATGCCAGATGTGACATGTAATTTATTTTTTTATTTTTTCACCTTTATTTAAAGTCCCATTGTCCCATTGAGATTAAGAACCTCTTTTTCAAGGGAGTCCTGGACAAAAGTTGCATACAGTTACATACATTATAGATTATAAAACAGTTAAATACAGATTATAAAAACAGTCACATACAATTTCATAAAATTACGGATTACGAAAAACAGTTACATTCCAATGAGGATGTCTCAAATTCTCTCAATCTGGATCTAAAAGCATTCAATGAAATAAATTCCGATAATTTCCAGTCTTTTTGCAACACATTCCATGTAGAAGGAGCAGCGTCAATAAAGTCTGTCTTATCTTATCTTATCCTAGAGTTTCATTTTGATATTTATAATTCTATTTTTAGGCTTTTAGGTTAAATGTGAAGAAGTTGGACCAGAGACATCTGTCTTCCCAAACATCTCAGTACTAGCTTTTTTACACTTTTGTCTTATTAGAAGAACTTTCTAAGCTTTAGGTTTTCAGGTTTTTGTAGTGATGCTTGTTTCATATGTCTTTCACTCCACAGTTGACAATAACATTCTGTGTTTGTGGTTGTGTTTTATCATGACACAATGTAAGTAAGTAAGTCATCTTTATTTATATAGCGCCTTTCACAGTCACAAAGCGGTTTACAATTTACAATTTTTTTGGGCATCTCTCACTCCACACAGAGATGGGAGCGGGATCGCCAGTACAAGAGGCACATGACGTCAATTGCTTGCTTGCAATTGACGTCACGTCCGCCTCATTACTTATGCGTATCACAAAGTGGTGGTCAGCCGAGCTAGTTGTTCACTAGAGCAGCGTGTCTGTTTATGCCTTTTGCATGTGTTGTTTTAAGTTTTCTAACCAATCAAATCGTGAAATCTTTAATGGATACTTTAGGATTCCTCGTGAAGAGATTAATAAAGAGCCTCGCACTAAGGACTTTACGAAAAAGACGCAGGAAAAGTGGCTCGCTAACATTTCACTAGCAAACGCTTTTACCTTGAAGGATTATTTATTTACCCAGCCATGCAGTCACAATGCACAGTTATTACATCCCCATCTTTATTTAATGAACTTTCAGGTATGAGTCTTAGATAAACACTGTGAATGTTTGACCTGAAAAGAATCAGAATCAGAATCATTTTTATTGCCACGTAAGTACAGGAGGTCACAGACTTGGAAATTGCTTTGGCTCAGTGCAACAGTCAAAAAGAGATAATAAAAATAAGAATAAAAAACAATAAATAAATTTAAATTTAAAATAGAGTTACAGTTACTATTTACAATATACAAGTGCACATGGTGCACACAATGTAAGGTGACAGCAGTACAGTGAAGTAAAGTAAAGAACACAGCCACAGACACATTGTTTTGTTGAGAATGATAAGTTCATACCAATCGTTACTTACACGGCTCTTTACGGTGCAGGATTTGTCCTTCAGGACCTTAACTCTGAGTTCTTAAACCCACAGACAGACGGAAAAGTTGCAGCATCCATGTTTTTCCAAACCTTCATTTGTTTAAAGTGCAAAAGCTTGATTTTAACACTAGCTAGTGGATTAGAATCTAAAGTGAAGAAAATGACAGTCTAGGATTGTGTCTTTAATTCAGACAGAAGACATGTTTTATTTTTGATGTTAGAGGCAACATAAACAAAGACGTTACAGAATGTAAGTGACATACAGCGGAGGAATGGAGACTTATTAGCATATTAGCAAATATTAGCATTTGCCGCGGTGCCAGTAGCTTCAACCTTAATATTACCAAAACATGTGGAAAAATTCTGCCTTGTGCATATTGTTAGAATGATGAGCGTTAACCGCAGTAGCTTTAAAATGTCATGAAATATCCAAAAAAGCTACAAAATTCTCAGAAGAGTTGCATTTTCTTCATATATCAGCAGCAACTCTTGCTGGCCTGACCACCACTTCGTCAGCCGGAAGTTTATGCGCCACGTGACTTCAAGCCAAGAATTGAGCATGTTTTCAGTGGTAGGTGAAACCGGAGTACCCTGAGGAAACCTACGCAGACACAGGGAGAACATGCAAACTCCACTCAGAAAGGCACTGTTCTGACCGGGATTTGAACCCAGGACCTTCTTGCTGAGAGGCGAGAGTGCTATCCACTCAGCCACCGTGCCCAAAGAATGTGGAAGAGTTCATGGGGTATGAATACTTTTAATAATGTTTTCTTGAGTCATTTTTAAGTGTTGCAATCACAGAATCTTGAACTAAATGGTTTTGTAATTAGTGTCACAGTATGTGTAGAGTGTCGCTGCAGGATTTGAGTGTGTAATTAATATATCATTTGCCATCCATATTTTTAAATGATTTATGTATAAAAGATTATTGTAGCTTCACCTCTTTAAGGGTGAATTGAACAGAGGGGTAAATGTTGTGTGTTTTGTAAGTATTTTTGTAAAAACATACAGACTTGTTTTACAGGCTTCCAATCAAACTGTGATTATGGTTTATTGTATTTGATTGTCAAGTGTCCGTTGTTTTTTTCTGTACTTGCCGTTTATCGGACTTGCTGCGAAGTAAATCCACTCTTTTATGTGTGTGATGTACAGTCCAAATGTAAGTAAGTAATCTTTATCTACATAGGGCATTTTCACCAAACTAAAGTGCTTTACAGTGTGTTCAGAGTTCAAATCTAAGGGATGTTGTCTTAGGAGAATCACATTAAAGGGACTGCAGCGATAAAACTACTTTACCTTCATATTGTCGTGTTATAAAAGAATGTTAAGAGGATAAGGTCATGGACAAGTGCACAGAAAATGACTTGAATCGTGCACAATATTCACACATCTATAGCCAAGAAAGTGATGGTTATTATTATTTTAAACAAAGGCACTTCTTCATTTTTATGCCCTGCTCTTCATTTGCTTTCCAGTAGTTTTTCACGATATTGCACGGAAACAAACACAATCCATTTGATATTCTCATCTTTTTCTAGTGTTGCTGCATTACTTTGTGTGAGATTGTTTTGCTCTCTCACCTGGTGATGTCTTCGATGAGCACCGATGGATCCGGAGGATAAAACTTTACTGAGAAAGCGAACACCCAGGAGCCCACTGCGAAACACATCTCCACTAAATTCTCACTTCAATATTGTACGGCAGGTCTCTCCATGTCTGCGCCTCTACTTACCCCGAATTTGCTTCTTAATCTCTTTGGAAGGATCCAGCCAATTCTGATAAAGGAGAAAAGACAATCCCCTTTCAGAAAGTCTCATTAATATTCATGATATAAAGAGTTTTACCTCAATGGCTTCCTCTATCATTTCATTAAAAAAACCCTAAATATAGTCCAATTTTACAGATAACAGACTTTATGAGCACGGCAAGCATCCACTTTGCCTTGATAAATGTCAGACTTTAATTCTTGAAGTTACTGGGCAATGTCCCCTTCTGAAAAGGCCACATTTAAAGGTTATAAGTCACAAACGCGATGGTCAAACTATAAGTGGTCAGTAATGGATAAAAGCCAAATAGAGTAGTATGAAAGTAGGAATTTAGTTTGAAATAAAATACATGGGTTTGCTTCTGACGTTGTATATTACTGATTAGCATATTCCACATAAAAAGATAAATTATGCTTGTTTGGATTGAGGTTGCTCGCGAGACCTGGCACAAACCCAGCAGCAGAAGGTCAGAATTAGCAATTACATTCATTTATATGTTAAACAAAATGCACAGCCAACAAGCTCATGTTGATCTGCAAAGACATACAGGTCACGTGGATGTATTGGGTGGAACTACTATCTTCGAAACATTTTGAAATCATGGCTTTGGGTTTACGACTAAGTCCAAGCAGTTATGAGGTTCATGTATCAGAAAATTATAAGTTCAGGTTGATAAGCATCGTTGGTGGATATGCTTGCTTGTATATGAGTTGTGTTTCTTGTGTAGAGAAATATGAGGAAGATAAGTTGTGTGCTTTAGTTTGACCTTGGAGTGGTCAGTGTCTTGGAACATGAGTCCGAAGTAGTCTCTCTCCAGCAGGTTCAGATGGCCACACACCATGTCCAGCAGCGTCTGTCCTTTGGCAAATTTCTGAAAATCACGCACACGCACGCACACACACACACACATAAAATGTAAAAATCAACTAAGAAAACCAGCAGACAAGAGCAGAGGAGGGCAAGAGGTGCCTCAGCAGGGGGCGGGCAGGGGACACAGGCACAAGGCAGGGATTGGCCATAAATCTATGCATAATTCATACATGGATTAAATCTGTCGCTAAAACACAAAACAGAATGGTTGTAAGTTCATCATTAAACATGGACTTGTTTCGGAAAATAAGCAAGATATAATAGGTGTAAATTGCACCTAAAAAAATTATCCCTTTGAGTGAATTTGAGCAAATTAGCTTGACATAGAAAAAAATATTGTTTTCTTTTTGAATTGTCTTGACCACCAATATAGAACATCTTTTGTAATTAATAACAGTAATCTGAAATGGCCCAATGACAAGAAACGAACAGGCGATCTATCACAAAGCCATTCTTTATTTCCAGTAAATCTCCATCATATGTTTCCAAACAATAGTGCAGTATGGATAAACCTCAGCTCCTCCCTGTGGAGTGGGACGAGCTGGTATCTTGTGTATGTCCATAAAAGGCCAGGCTTTTACATAATCTGATAACAAGGCCACACCCTTTTCCTTTGGACACGTCTCCAAGGGAAACCTGGCTCATGTGGCGTCAGTGGAGCCAAGCAGCCGTTACCGTGGAAACTGAAGTTAATAGGGTTCCTGTGCCTGTGCCCTCCTCTTCCTGTCTGTGTTGATACACGACGACGCCTTTGTTCAGGTCTGAGATAGGGATTACAGATTATTACACTGTACTGACACCTCTTTGAAGATGATAGATATAAATCATGTTAACCGGTCACCGCTCAGGGGGAGTCAGTAACTTTCATTGTATTTCAGTTTGTGACCACCTGGCCTTGTACTATTATGCAGAGTGAGGCTTTACATGATGGTCCTCCTCTTGGCAACAGCTTGATTTGAGTGTCGTTAAACCAATGAGGAGAGAGCTCATCCATCAAATAATGATTTAAATTCCTGTAGGAGAAAAGAGTGAGCGAGAGCAGCTCTGAGCAGTTCTTTTTTCTCTCTGTCCCTGACATTCGCTGAAATAAAACATCACCTTTCTTTGCAATTGTTATCTATCGAATCTGGAACTCATCCTGTGTAGAATCTCACAAAAGAGACATGGACACACATATAAAGTTAAGTTTTTACATTTTTTGCGGTTTATAAATCAAAAAGTTAGGGTTTGTCCTCACTCTTAACATCACTGTGTTTTTTGTGTTTAGGAATTGCTTCTTTTTCTGTAATGGAGCTTTTATTGGTGTAAAAATAGTGGAATTAAAAGCAATTAAGAAAATCTTCTAACTGTCATGTTTAACATTGGCTTAACCAGGATCCGTCAGCACAAGCGCAAACACAGGCCTCACGACGTGTTTATGTGTCCAATTAAAAAGTTCATATGAAAACTCACTCCATGCAGTGACAATATTTCTACCACTCAACAGATTTTCTAAAATTAGCAAAGCCTAAAAACACAACATGTTCCTGTACTTTGTGAAGTTACTGTATTATATCAAATAGCATTTTGAGTTTGATAACGAAGGAGCGTCGGGGAGGCATACATTAAGATTGTGGTTGACACTGTGACACAAATGTCATTAGAATTTGTTTTTCAATTAGATAATACATTTTCACATACATTATACAATTAATCCAAGCCTCTCAGGTGGTCGCTCAACATTACTGCCGACTCAGCGCTCACTGATGAGATTCTGGCTGATTCTGGCTGTCTCTGCTGTCTGATTGTGTTAGCAGCTATTTGCCCATTCCGTGTCTTTATTGCTAATGGTTTAATCTGCGTGAGCAAAACAAGGACGGACAGTGGCCTTGTAAATGTGGTTATGGCTTTAAATGAAGAGACCGAATCTACTGCAGAAAATGTAATGAGTTTTGGAAGTCTGATAACTCAAAAGTCAGTCCATACAGATTGTTTTCAAGAGCTCATGTGTGGTATAATTTACAATCGTATGTATAATCTACAGACAAATACTGGTGTAAGACGGAAATCACACCCAGCTCTTGTATTAAACTCCAAATAAGCGTGTGGTCGTGTGGAAGGTGCACTGGAGGTGCTTTCTTGGAGGTGATGCTTTCATTTTAAAAAGCAGAAAGTAGTTTGTAGTCTGAGGATTTGTAATAGATGGAATTAAAAATTCAACAGTGACAACAGTGAGGTGAGCGAGCGGCCTTAACCCTTTGTTGCCTCCCGTAGAAAAATAGGTTTCAATGGCACACGATACACCGCCACCCCTTGCATTGTTAAAGCCTTACTCCAGTCAGGGCTCGGGTCTAAAAACGAAACATGATCCTTTTCACACATGTCGGTTGGAAATCATCTCCTCCTCGACCGTTTCACGATGTGCCTCAAAATTGCTCCATCGTCTAAACACATGTACCATCATTTTGATTTAGTAAATTTTGATCAGTTAAACGTTGTTCGAGCAGCGTATCGGCAACATTTTTAACAATAGAAAATGTGCTCCCGTTTGCACATACAAAGTCCGATTCGCACAACAGTTTGATCCAATGTTCTGCTCCAGGGTCTAGTCTAGGGTCTGAAAGTGAAATATTTTAAATTGGCCCATCAGCGCCCCCTACAGACTATGTCAAAGTTTTACATGGGGATAATCGCATTTAGTTTATTCAAAATGTTTGAAATGTTGCACATAATTATGTTTTGCCCTCTTGATTCAAAAAGTAAATGAGACCCTAGACTTATCTTTTACCCTGTTGCCATGGTGACGACAAGTGCTCCCCATTCTTTGCCTATGGGAAATGTACACCTCGTACAAACAGCATAGGCCGTTTCACCGATTTGCCTGAAAATTGTTCCATATCATCTCAATAGTTGATCATAAAATTTAGATTTGTCACATGGTCATCCAATGGAAACTGTATATATATATATATGGACACACTCACAGATTATACATGTGCTCCTGTTTACACAAACAAAGTCTGATTTGTACTAAACTTGACTCGGTTATTCAACTCCTGGACCATGGTCACCTGAAGGTGTGAAATATTAAATTGGCCCTTTTGCGCCCCCTACAGAGTGAGCAAAAGTTTTACATGGGGACCCAAACCAACTGATCGTATTCATTACAATTTTACAAACATTGTTCTACAGCTACGGGAGCAAATCACCCCTCCTTTGCGCGGTGCAGCGAGGGCTGTTTGACGCCGCTTGCGGCTTTTAATTTTTTTGATCTTTTAATTTATAGGCTTTTCCAAGTTGTTGAGATGCAGTTTGATGGTAATAATGCTTATAACCAAGTGAGATGACCCAACGAGGTATATTTCAGTTCCAAGCATGCTTAAAGTAGAAATAGTGACTCAAAGAGTAATCTACCAAATGTGACCAGCGCACACCAGGATCATTCCCGACAGCTCGCGGACACTGCGATTTTTAACAGCGGTTAAGTTTTTGATGCCGTTATCCTTTCACCAGAGGCAGGACAACAGTGCTGATTTCATTAGTTTGACTTCTTAAAGAGAGAATCCCAGCTGTGTGAGAATAAAAAAGACCCCTACTCCGGCATTTCTACTGCCTCTTTGAGCCAGCGTCAATGTTTGTTGTCCATCGCCCCTCTGATATAAACTTCGTCCAAATCAATTGCCGTTTTCAGAGATGGCTGATTTGAGTTTCTCTTGTTCTGCTTTGTGCTGTGTTGCTCGTGTGCACGCCTGCCCCTCACAGCTGAAACTGTCTACAAAAAAACACTACAAAAGAATCAACTTGTAGAATCTTGCAAAAGACCAAATGAACCTTATGAACCTTTAATGCCAAACTGTAGAACATTTCAGATAAAAAAACATCTTTTGTCTTACATATTCTTGTTCAGAGAGGGGCAACTGGAGAATGTATAATGTTTACACCACTCTGACACACTTCATTTAACAGATCTTCATGGATTTCAAGTATACAAAGTACAAACAAAGGGAAAGAGATAAAAGTGAAAGTAAAAAAGTGACTTCTGCCCACAAAAAACTTAACCGCAGTCATGCTGTAGGAGCCTGCCTTTTATGCAGTCACTGAAGTGCCTGCAAAAGTAATACACAAATGCAGCTGGCAGCAAAACCTATGAATCAAATCATTCAGGCAGAAATATGTTGTTTTGAGGCTTTAAGTGAGCTGCCATCTTACTCAGCACCTCTCATTCCCTGCTGTTTATCGTATTGCCTCGTCACTGGAGTGGATATTTCAATTGCATAAATGTACTTCAAAATTGAACCAACTCAAGATGACATATTTGTTTATATAAGCAAAAGTTGTATTATAGTTAAATAGTTATTATATATACTGGAGAGACAGAGAGAAACTGCTATAATGTAATGTGGATGAATACATTCAAAGGCTGTATGGTTTATATTGTATGAATTAAAGATACATACTTGATCTCTCAAAACAATTTTTGTGATGTAATTTACTGTTTACCATGAGAAGATTTTAGGGACTTCTCAAAATGTGCAACTCAGCCCAGTCATTTAACTCATTTAACCTTTTATTCTAAGGCAAATATAAACATCCTACTCCATGTAAACATAATCTTGCTGCAATTTAATCTTGGAAAATCTTGTACGTATATTGTGTGTTGGAGAAGGAGACATTGAAAACAGAATAAATAGTACTGATAGTTGCATCATCCTGTAAGGCCTCTGAGTGTTCCCCCAAGGTGTTGTTTTGAGATGTAGCACACCTTTATAATTGAAAGCATTCACATCACAGTCATACTAGCTGAAACCATACAACAATATCAGGAATACATTTTCTCTTCCTAGTCCATCCATCCATTTTCTTCCCCTTAATCCATTTCTGGGTCGGGGGGTGGCAGTCAGAGCTGCACCCGGTACACAGAGCACCAGCCCCTCACTGATCCTCCTGCAGGTGGTGAGTCCACAGGAGCTGAGATCTTTCAGTGGGGGTTTTGGGCAAAGTAGGGTTAAGTGTCTTGCCCAA